TTCAAGGTGTGAACATCAAAATCTTCAGAAGGCTATTTCTCAGGCAAATGGGGCCAGATCAGCGAAGGACCTACTCTCCCATGTTCGCAGTCGATTGGCAGGACTCGCTGTATTGCAGAGATATAGCGTGCAGAAGAGACCAGTATTTCAAAGATACGCAAATCCAACTCTTCGGAATGCTATATTTCAGTCAAATAGGGCCAGATCGGGGGAGGACCTACTCTCCCAGGATCGTGAGGCTCCCGACTGTCGATCGGCATCAAAATCTCGACCTCGAAAATGAGGCCGATTTTTGGCAATTTTAATGATGTAACCATCATGATTTTTTGCGAAAATCGTGATGAAATGAATGTCCTTATTTCCGATGACAGTCGATTGGCAGGACTCGCCCCATCCCGAAAAGACATGCCGCACGCCGATCGGCCGCTTTATTGTAGAGATATAGCGTGCAGAAGAGGCCAGTATCTCAAAGATACGCAAATCCAACTCTTCGCAAGGCTATATCTCAGGCAAATGGGGCCAGATCGGTGAAGGACCTACTTTCCCAGGATCGCGAGGATCCAGCCTGTCGAACGGCATCAAAATCTCGACTACGAAAATGAGGCCGATTTTTGGCAAATTTAATGATGGTTACATCATGATTTTTTGCGAAAATCTTGATGGAAAGGATGTCTTTTTTCCGACGGCAGTCGATTGGCAGGACTCTCCCGATTACGGTGAGACATGCCACGCCCAGATCGGCTACCGTATAGCTGAGATATAGCTTACAGAAAAAACCAGTATTTTCATGGTGTGAACATCAAAATCTTCAGAAGGCTATATCTCAGGCAAATGGGGCCAGATCGGTGAAGGACCTACTTTCCCAGGATCGCGAGGATCCAGCCTGTCGAACGGCATCAAAATCTCGACTACGAAAATGAGGCCGGTTTTTGGCAAATTTAATGATGGTTACATCATGATTTTTTGCTAAAATCTTGATGGAAAGGATTTTTTTTTTCCGATGGCAGTCGGTTGGCAGGACTCTCCCGATCACGGTGAGAGATGCCACGCCCAGATCGGCTACAGTATAGCTGAGATATAGCTTACAGAAAAAACCAGTATTTTCATGGTGTGAACATCAAAATCTTCAGAAGGCTATATCTCAGGCAAATGGGGCCAGATCGGTGAAGGACCTACTTTCCCAGGATCGCGAGGATCCAGCCTGTCGAACGGCATCAAAATCTCGACTACGAAAATGAGGCCGGTTTTTGGCAAATTTAATGATGGTTACATCATGATTTTTTGCTAAAATCTTGATGGAAAGGATGTCCTTTTTCCGATGGCAGTCGGTTGGCAGGACTCTCCCGATCACGGTGAGACATGCCACGCCCAGATCGGCTACCGTATAGCTGAGATATAGCTTACAGAAAAAACCAGTATTTTCATGGTGTGAACATCAAAATCTTCAGAAGGCTATATCTCAGGCAAATGGGGCCAGATCGGTGAAGGACCTACTTTCCCAGGATCGCGAGGATCCAGCCTGTCGAACGGCATCAAAATCTCGACTACGAAAATGAGGCCGGTTTTTGGCAAATTTAATGATGGTTACATCATGATTTTTTGCTAAAATCTTGATGGAAAGGATGTTTTTTTTCCGATGGCAGTCGGTTGGCAGGACTCTCCCGATCACGGTGAGACATGCCACGCCCAGATCGGCTACAGTATAGCTGAGATATAGCTTACAGAAAAAACCAGTATTTTCATGGTGTGAACATCAAAATCTTCAGAAGGCTATATCTCAGGCAAATGGGGCCAGATCGGTGAAGGACCTACTTTCCCAGGATCGCGAGGATCCAGCCTGTCGAACGGCATCAGAATCTCGACTACGAAAATGAGGCCGGTTTTTGGCAAATTTAATGATGATTTTTTGCGAAAATCGTGATGAAATGAATGTCCTTATTTCCGATGACAGTCGATTGGCAGGACTCGCCCCATCCCGAAAAGACATGCCGCACGCCGATCGGCCGCTTTATTGTAGAGATATAGCGTGCAGAAGAGGCCAGTATCTCAAAGATACGCAAATCCAACTCTTCGCAAGGCTATATCTCAGGCAAATGGGGCCAGATCGGTGAAGGACCTACTTTCCCAGGATCGCGAGGATCCAGCCTGTCGAACGGCATCAAAATCTCGACTACGAAAATGAGGCCGGTTTTTGGCAAATTTAATGATGGTTACATCATGATTTTTTGCTAAAATCTTGATGGAAAGGATGTCCTTTTTCCGATGGCAGTCGGTTGGCAGGACTCTCCCGATCACGGTGAGACATGCCACGCCCAGATCGGCTACCGTATAGCTGAGATATAGCTTACAGAAAAAACCAGTATTTTCATGGTGTGAACATCAAAATCTTCAGAAGGCTATATCTCAGGCAAATGGGGCCAGATCGGTGAAGGACCTACTTTCCCAGGATCGCGAGGATCCAGCCTGTCGAACGGCATCAAAATCTCGACTACGAAAATGAGGCCGGTTTTTGGCAAATTTAATGATGGTTACATCATGATTTTTTGCTAAAATCTTGATGGAAAGGATGTCCTTTTTCCGATGGCAGTCGGTTGGCAGGACTCTCCCGATCACGGTGAGACATGCCACGCCCAGATCGGCTACCGTATAGCTGAGATATAGCTTACAGAAAAAACCAGTATTTTCATGGTGTGAACATCAAAATCTTCAGAAGGCTATATCTCAGGCAAATGGGGCCAGATCGGTGAAGGACCTACTTTCCCAGGATCGCGAGGATCCAGCCTGTCGAACGGCATCAAAATCTCGACTACGAAAATGAGGTCGATTTTTGGCAAATTTAATGATGGTTACATCATGATTTTTTGCGAAAATCTTGATGGAAAGGATGTCCTTTTTTCCGATGGCAGTCGATTGGCAGGACTCTCCCGATTACGGTGAGACATGCCACGCCCAGATCGGCTACCGTATAGCTGAGATATAGCTTACAGAAAAAACCAGTATTTTCATGGTGTGAACATCAAAATCTTCAGAAGGCTATATCTCAGGCAAATGGGGCCAGATCGGTGAAGGACCTACTTTCCCAGGATCGCGAGGATCCAGCCTGTCGAACGGCATCAAAATCTCGACTACGAAAATGAGGCCGATTTTTGGCAAATTTAATGATGGTTACATCATGATTTTTTGCGAAAATCTTGATGGAAAGGATGTCTTTTTTTCCGACGGCAGTCGATTGGCAGGACTCTCCCGATTACGGTGAGACATGCCACGCCCAGATCGGCTACCGTATAGCTGAGATATAGCTTACAGAAAAAACCAGTATTTTCATGGTGTGAACATCAAAATCTTCAGAAGGCTATATCTCAGGCAAATGGGGCCAGATCGGTGAAGGACCTACTTTCCCAGGATCGCGAGGATCCAGCCTGTCGAACGGCATCAAAATCTCGACTACGAAAATGAGGCCGGTTTTTGGCAAATTTAATGATGGTTACATCATGATTTTTTGCTAAAATCTTGATGGAAAGGATGTCCTTTTTCCGATGGCAGTCGGTTGGCAGGACTCTCCCGATCACGGTGAGACATGCCACGCCCAGATCGGCTACCGTATAGCTGAGATATAGCTTACAGAAAAAACCAGTATTTTCATGGTGTGAACATCAAAATCTTCAGAAGGCTATATCTCAGGCAAATGGGGCCAGATCGGTGAAGGACCTACTTTCCCAGGATCGCGAGGATCCAGCCTGTCGAACGGCATCAAAATCTCGACTACGAAAATGAGGCCGATTTTTGGCAAATTTAATGATGGTTACATCATGATTTTTTGCGAAAATCTTGATGGAAAGGATGTCTTTTTTTCCGACGGCAGTCGATTGGCAGGACTCTCCCGATTACGGTGAGACATGCCACGCCCAGATCGGCTACCGTATAGCTGAGATATAGCTTACAGAAAAAACCAGTATTTTCATGGTGTGAACATCAAAATCTTCAGAAGGCTATATCTCAGGCAAATGGGGCCAGATCGGTGAAGGACCTACTTTCCCAGGATCGCGAGGATCCAGCCTGTCGAACGGCATCAGAATCTCGACTACGAAAATGAGGCCGGTTTTTGGCAAATTTAATGATGGTGACATCATGATTTTTTGCTAAAATCTTGATGGAAAGGATGTCCTTTTTCCGATGGCAGTCGGTTGGCAGGACTCTCCCGATCACGGTGAGACATGCCACGCCCAGATCGGCTACCGTATAGCTGAGATATAGCTTACAGAAAAAACCAGTATTTTCATGGTGTGAACATCAAAATCTTCAGAAGGCTATATCTCAGGCAAATGGGGCCAGATCGGGGGAGGACCTACTCTCCCAGGATCGTGAGGCTCCCGACTGTCGATCGGCAAAAAATCTCGACCTCGAAAATGGGGCCGATTTTTGGCAATTTTAATGATGATTTTTTGCGAAAATCGTGATGAAATGAATGTCCTTATTTCCGATGACAGTCGATTGGCAGGACTCGCCCCATCCCGAAAAGACATGCCGCACGCCGATCGGGCGCTTTATTGTAGAGATATAGCGTGCAGAAGAGGCCAGTATCTCAAAGATACGCAAATCCAACTCTTCGCAAGGCTATATCTCAGGCAAATGGGGCCAGATCGGTGAAGGACCTACTTTCCCAGGATCGCGAGGATCCAGCCTGTATACCGTATAGCTGAGATATAGCTTATAGAAAAAACCAGTATTTTAATGGGGTGAAAATCCAAATCTTCGGAAGGCTATATCTCAGATCGTTTTAAACCTGATTGACATCAAGGATTACGTTAACTTGGGAGCCAGCCAATCCCGAAAGTATGCAATGATTAATTTAAGCATTCTTAAGTCATCTGATATCTGGTTTAGTTAGATTTTTAGTCATTAATTATGTTAATTAAAACTACTTGTAAAAAATGCTATCAGTTTTGAGCAAGCTGTCGTCTAAAGCTGCTCAGCAATTAATCTACTTTCTACTATTCCAGTTAGTCGCTGCGTTGATCCTCAATCTGACGCGGTCCGGGTCCGTCCTCGCCAGCCTCGTTTCCTGCAGCCGCCGCCGCCGCTTGGTACAGCTGCTTCAGATCATTGTAGAGCCGCACGGCGAGCTGCATATTTGGAGCCTGGTGGCGGCCTGGCACCTGGTGCTCCTTGGGCGGCTGCACGCACATTTTCACCACCTTCTGCATGGGTCGCGTGAGCCGCACACCACTCAAGAGTCCAGGCTGAAAGGTTCCGCCGCCCAGGAGTATGTGTTCACAAAAAATCTGGAAGTTGTTGTTCTGCTGGATGTGGGTGCAAGCATGTCGCTCCTCGTTGCACATTCCGCGACAGGAGTGGAAGTGGCAGTCCTTGTCGCTTTGGCACTTCACCCCGCGGGACAGGCGCTTGTCCAGCTGACTCTCGACGTACACGTGCTCGGCGCTCTGGTACTTGAGGCGACGCTCGGGCGTGGTGCCAAATCGATTCACCTGCATCTTGCACATTTTCAAGGGCTCTGGCTTCATCTCGTCCATGCGGAAGATGTACTCCATGATGTTGAGAGCGTGCTTTAGACGCTGCTGCCGATTAGAGGCTCTGAAAAAATACATTGAAAAGCTGAGAGGGAGGACAAAAGGGTTTCTAATGTACTCACAAGTACTGCATAATGCTGGGATTCGATTGCACTATCTCCAGTCCTTCGGTGGCATAGTAGGGCCCGCAAGACCCGAGTACTGCTGGGAATACAGACTCCTCGTCGAAAAGCTTCCCCATCATGTAGTTGTTATCCTTGAACAATCGCCAGAAGCTGACCATCTGCTGGGAGTTGTCATCGGCAATCTCCTGGTTGACCAAGGCGCGTATCTGAAAATATGTACATAAAAAAGTTAGCCATGGACCAACCCTTGGACCTTGCTCAGAGGCCCACCATGTTATCGTCGAGGGTGACATTGTAAGCGAGTATAATGTGTAGCTTGACAATCTCATGGAACTCCTCAATCTTTGGGTAAATCGACTCCCCCTTGGTGTTCTTCCAGCTCAACTCGTCATCGTTGTGCCTGGCCAGCTGCAAAAACGGAGTTATGAACGGAATTGGTAGGCATGACAACGCCCCGATATTGCCAGATACGCGACCTACCTTCACCGCATACATATCACCATTCTTTTCGGCCGTAAACAGAATGGTCTTCATGTCATTCAGCGGACACTGGAAGTTGTCGAATGTCGACTGTGCCCCGCATAGCTCTTCGCATAGCGAGCCACTGTACTCCTGCTGCTCAAACTTCTGGCACTGTTTCGACAGAGACGGGTAAATGTATGAAGGGATATACTCGTACATATGTATGTATTTAGTATGCAATTTCTTAGGGCTCACCATGAGATTGAGACTCCTGTGCGACATGAGCTTGAAGCAGAATTTTAGGTTGAGGAAGGCATAGCTGAATAGGCCCACCGCCAGCAGGACCGCAATGAGAACTGTTCGCTGCATTCCAAACCGAAGTTTCCGACGCAGGGCGGACAACATTTTATTGAATTTCGGTTTTCATTATGGATACATTTGCCACTACAGCAGGTCCTAATTGTCGCGAGGTCTATCCCCAGGTATATACACTTGAAGCTGCAGAAGCTGTCAATGGAACTGACACGAGTCCAGGTCGAGGACATGCGCATTGGATGCGCACCTATCGATGACTATCGATTACTATCGGACCACACGCACCCCCAGCTAGGCAGCCAGCCAGCTGGCCTTCCAGCTAGCCAAAAATCAAAAGGGTGTTTGCATTTTGAAATTATTACTTAACGTATAATTCTTTATTTATACTCTCTGCTAAATTGAGCAATTATTACCGTTACTTAATTCATCAATTTTTGTATTATTTTTTGTATTTTTTAATAAGTGTTTCATTTTAATTTTCATTCAAGTGTTTAGAGTTTCTTCTGTATTGTTTTTGTATTTGGTTTTGGTTTTGTTTTTGGTTTGTTCTGCTTTACTAAAAATTATTTAAATTCAGAATCATATACCTAGGTCCAAGTTTTATTGTTGTATATTTGTAATAATATAATTATTATTTTCGCATTATCTATCTGCTGCGCTGCACTTCTTGCCATTGAATTAGTGTCTCCATTGTGTGTTCAGTATCAGTATCTGTATTTGTATCTGTATCTGTATCTGTATCTGTGTCATTTGTCTGTATCTGTATCCGTGTCTCAGTATCTGTCTCTTTGTCTAATATTCATCTTTGTGTGTATGTATGTATGTATGTGTACGTGTATTTATATACTTAAGATAACCGTTCTTTATGCACAATTTTATTTAGTTATATACACAACTATAGTATGTGGCTATGACAAATGCTACAACAAATCAAATAGGTAAAAAAAAATATTATTCTAGGGGATAAATGTCTGTGCACTCGACTCTGAATCGTCTTGCGCTAATTGTGTTTAATTCTGCTATATATATACCTCAAACGGCGCATCATATCATCTGTCTATAGAGCTCTCTCTCTCTCCCTCTCTCTCGCTCGCTCTGTCTCTAATGCTTTCTGCAGTTTCTGTGTATAATTATCGCATCCGTTTCCATTCGTAACACTATCTTCTGTCCCTCCAAAGTACTCGTATTTTAGGTATTTTCTTGGTAAATTTGTGTCTCGCTACGTGAACATTAAAAATGGTATGCCTCGGCTTAGTTATTCTTTGATTTACTTTACTTTACTTTACTTTACGTTACTCCTCTCCTCCTCTCGTTAGTACCTCGTATTAGATAATTTCATTAACTTGCATTAATCGCTCCGTGTTTTTGTTTGTTATTTGCTTTTTTGCTGGGCTGTAGGCTGTTATGAGTATTCTACTGCTCTGTTATATACACTCTGAAGATTATAAAGGACCTCTCCTCCGATTTGCCCTGCGCTGCTCCTTTAGTAGTCGTTTCCGATTTCGATTCCGGCATCGTGTTCTCATGTTCTCGTATTTCGTATTCGTGTCTTCTGTTCGTGTTGTTCTTGCTCTCTTGTTCTTCTCTGTTGTATATTATTATGTTTTTTTCGTTTAAACTTTATGCAATGTTAACATTTTGTTGTCTGTTTTTTTTTTCTTCTTTTGATTTTGTTACAAAATTGCAGCCGCTTGGCATTTTCATTTGGTTTCGTTTCGTTCGTAATTTTAACTCATTATTGTTGGTTTTGTTTTTTTTTTTTTGTTTGCTTAGTTCATTTAAAATAATGTAAAAAAATTGCAAATTGCATGCGCTCATTCGTTAATTATGTGCCATTAAAAAATGTCTATGATTTCTCTATATGTATTCATTCTTATATTTACAGCAGTTAATCGTTTTTCATCTTTTGTTTTTGTTTTTGGTGTTGGTTTTGGTTTGGGTTTTGGTTTTCATTGAACTTGAACGCAGCTCTCCCCCACTGTGTTCTATCTATCGTTTATTATCTGTTTCTGTCGACCTACTTTGTTCAATTACGTAAAACCTTTGTTTTTGGCAGTGCATTTATATTTATTATTATTTTCGCCCCACTATGTCCTGTCTCGTCCCGTCTCGTTTCGTGATGATTCCCGTTCTTTGTTCGACTACAAATTATTTTTTTTCGTTTAGTTATAATTTACTCATAAATTAAAGGTTATTAATTAATCAACAGCAGTTACTATATATACAGTTTTCATCTCGTGTTTCGCAAGGTACTTCCGATTCAACGGCTATACATACAAACATATATATATATATATCTATCAATACATATATATATATATATATTGGGAAATCAATCTGTGTTCGAGTTTTCTTTAAGTTTTGATCTTGTTTTTTTTTTAAAGCGAAACTGAGGAGATTAGAGGACCATCGAATATATCGAGTACTTAATTGGAAGACAGTTGTTTTGGGGATAATGTGGGATAATGCACACAGAAAACGATAATACGGGAAGGTGGAAGAATCCCTCTACCTCCTCTACCTTTGGGGTAGTGGAACCGTTCTCTTCAGAGTGGGAGAACCTTCTCTTCTCGTTCATTGAGCTGAGAGAACCGCCTCTTTAGCTTTATTTTTGGGGTCGAAGAACCCACTCCTTGGATTCATAGAGCCCCCTTGTCAAAAGTAGCTGCCAAGAGAACAATATTTGGGGGTTGGTTTACTCTGGGGAAATAACAGAATCGTATTTGGTATTTGAGCAAAAAACGGCTTATTGCTTTGTTACAAAAATCGCAAGCAGTCCCTGAAGAAAGTCATCGATCGATCAATCATAAAAATTGCGCATATCAAAAAAATGATAACAAAAATCACCTTCCTCCACTCTTTTTATGCAATATATTGTTATTGTTATTGTTTTTACTTATAATTCGATCTTAAAAACTCTTCTCTTCTGCTTCTCCGTTAACTGCGGTAATTTGTGTGCCAAAAACTACAGTTTGCTGTTTGCTGTTCGCCGTTTGCTGTGGTTGCTTCTTTGGTTATTCATTTGTAATTATTTGTTAATATTATTATTTATTTAGTTAGTTATAGTTAGTTATTTAGTTGCACGTTGCGTGTTGCAGTTGCAGTTGCGGTTGCTGAAACTCTAAATCTTGTGGCGCTGCTTTCGATGCAATCGGTGCATCCCTTAGAACTATGTATCTTTAACTAGAATTTTCATTTTCATTTTCATTTTAGATTGGGTTTCCTACTCCGCTCCGTGTCTTCTCTATCTGCGAGTACTGTACTCTGTGGAGTAGTAGGTGCATTGTTATTTCCATTCCAGGCCTCATAATCTTATGTGTCTATATGATGTATATGTATAATATGTATCTCTAGTTTTATATCTGTATCTTTAGTCAATTTAAATACGCAAATTTCAAAACTGTCGCTTAATAATTAGGTTTGAATATACAAATGTTCCGGGAGTGTACAGTACGCGTACTGTGCTTAAGTATTTCATTATCATTATCATTATCATCATCATCATCGTTATTTATTAAAATAGTCGTTGTTCTGCTTGCTGTTTTCTTTCTCCTTCGCCTCTCTCTTGTAGCTGTGATTCGTGATGAGTGTGTGTGTGTGTATCTGTGATTTGTGTATCTGATTCGTGACTCGGTTATCTTTTTGCGGAGTGCATGGTGTGTGTGTGATGAGTGATGAGTGACGCTTTCAACAGAGTTTTTTTTTTTGGCTTAGCACAAAATTAACCTTAACTTTCTTTCGTTTTTTCATTTCTTGTTTTTGGCAGTGTACAAATTGTAATTAAATTTAAAAGATTTCCATAGGTGTTCCGACATTCTCTGGTCATTACTCAGTTATTGCTTATCGCGATAATGATGCTGATGGCAATGGCGATGCTGATGGACAGCCACTGTCCCACTATCATCTCAGTCCTCGTCCAGGCTCTGCGTCCGCCGTCCCAGGTGCTGTTGTTGGGGTTTCTGTTGCTTTGAGACCACCAGGTACTTTCGGCCAAAGTACGGCGAATCTATGGGATTGGGATGCACGAGACGGGGGAACACTCTTTTACTTCTTCCGCAGGAAATTGCGTGCACGCTTGCGCACTCTCTTCAAGACCCCAGACCCGGCGAGTGGGTCCTCGTAGCGCGTGGCATGTGCTGCCTGTGGCTGATGCTGCAGCATATGGTGGCCATGGCCATGGGCATGGGTGTGAGCATGAGCGTGACTGTGGTGCGATTGCGATTGCGGGTGCGATTGCGTTTGCGTTTGCGAGTGGTGATGGGCATGCGAATGCGAGGTGGAGGTGGAGGCTGTGGAGGCGTGATAGTGATGCATTTGAACAAAGTCGTCGTCGCCAGCGGGATTCACAGACCCGGAAAGCGGCGAACCCGGGGACATGGGCTGCGACAGGAGATTGTGCTCGGAGGGAGCATCGAAGGATTCAAAGTGATGGAACTGCTGCTGCTGGTGTTGGTGGTACAGCGGCTGTGGCGATGGCGATGGCAGCGACGATGAGTGCTCGCTGGTAGTAGAGGCATCCACTCCGTTGAACTCTTTGGGCAGCTCATCGATCCCCAGGGACTTCTCGAAGTGCGAGTTCCCCGACATGTTCGTGTAATCATAGCTGGGGAAGGTGTACGGCAGATACCCCGCATGATGGCCCTCGCATCCCACCATCCCACTCTCGTCTGAGGTGCCTCCTCCACTCCGATTGTTGATGAACTTCACTTCGTTGGCATTCCGCTCGAGGCTGCTGCTAAACACGATATTGATGTTGTTCGAGCTGGTCGACAGATTGATGTTGGTCGGAGACATGGGCTCCGTCGAAGTCCCAGTCCCAGTCCCAGGTCTAGTTCCAGTCGTCGCCGTCGTCACCGTCGTCGCCGTTTGGTTGAGGTTCGTCTCCTTGGAGCTGGCCCTGTAGCTCTGGAAGCACTCCCCCGCATCGCTGGAGGCTGTGTTCGTGGTGTTCGTATTGTTGTTGTTGCCGCCGCCCTGCTGGAAGTTGTTCTTGTACTGAAACTCCAGCGCATTGCTCGGCTGGAAGGGATAGTTCTTCGAATTGTTGAGGACATCTGTGGCCGTGGGATCGCCCTTGGACAAATACTGATGGATATCCTCGCTGGTGATCTGCAGGTCTTGGTCCAAGTAGCTGTTGCACTGAATGTAGTTGTTGCAACAGTTGTTGAACGACTCCCCGGGATCCTGATGGAAGAGCACCGTCGTGGACTCTTCCTCGAATTCGCAATGGTAGTTGCTGCCGCGACGCTTCCGGGCTGCCGCCGCCGCCGAAGTACTGGGACCCTCATCGTACACGGAGCCACTCTTCCAGCAGGCAGTCTCTGCGCTGGTGATCTTCCTGCAGGGCTTTTTCCCGGGCTCTGGCTCTGGCACCTGCCAGGCATCTAGCTTCTCCTCCTCTTCCCCTCCTACAGCGCCCTCGAACTCCGTCGGCGACTTGCCGTCGGCCAGGAAGCTCCAGCGGATGGGCGAAGGCGAGCAGGCGTATTCGGGGAGATCGTTGCTCAAAGCTCCCTTGGAGCTCTGTCTCTCTAGAGTAGAGCCTGGCGCGTCCTCTCCTGCCTTAAGCTCCCCCGCCATCTGCTTGGCCCTGTCGAAGATGGAGGTCAGTGATCCCAGTTGGCTATTCGGGCGACTGGCATTCAATCCCCTCAAGGAGATGGATGTGTAGCTCGGCTGGCGGTGCTGCAGCCGCTGCTGCTTCCGCATGGCTGCGGACGCCGACTTGATGGAATTGTTGCGGCTGAGCGAGGACCTGGAGCCGTAGAGACTCGTCGAGTCCGTCTGGTAGCAGTAGTCGGAGCTGGTGCAGCAGCTGCTGGGGCGTCGCGACGAGGAGCCGTACAGATCCTCGGCGAAGAACTGGGCCAGCTCTGTGCGCGAGGAGGAAGTGCAGCAGGACTTGCGCACCATTATCTCCTGGACCTCACGATCCGCGCAACTGGGATCCTGGCAGGAATTGGTGGACACATCCGTGACTGAGCGATGGCGACGACTGGCGGCGCAGACAGCGCCGTGGCGCGTGGTGGTGCCTGCCGCCGAGTGGTGCCCCGAATGATGGGTGGAAGTGGTGTGGGCTCCTGGCAGACTCCCGCTGCCCTGGCGACGACGTCTACGATAATGATGATGATGTGAGTGATGGCTGTGCGGTGAGGTGTGGCGACTATGATGCGGACTATGGCTGTGTGGCTTGCGTGGCTGGTTCTGCAGTGGTTGCAGTGGTTGCACTGGTTGCTGCTGCTGTTGCATTTGGTGGCAGTGTGATAGAATGGAGACCGTCTCCTGATTCGGCTCGTGCTTGTGGCTGTGGCTGTGCGGTGGAGGCTGCTGCTGCTGTTGCTGTTGCTGTTGCTGTGGCATCTGTTGGGGCTGCTGCGAGGGGGCTGCTTGATCACATACAACATCCTTCTCATAGCTACAATGTACGTATTCGTGTGTGGCATATCGTGACTGGTGATGCGACTGCTGCTGCTGCTGCTGTTGCTGCTGTTGCATGGACATCGGCATCGGCATCGGCATCTCCTCAGCGCGACTCACGGACCGAACACTGGCAGTTTCAGGAGGTGAGGCGTTCCTCAGTCAAGGCCCGCTGTTCGGGCAGACAGGTGCTTGCTGACGAAGGTGATGGGGCGCAGAGGCACCGCTCCGGCCCTGGTGTGTACTTCGGCCGCCGTCTAAAAATCGCTCTGATGCAGCTGCAGGGAAGCGCAGTTGCGGTTGCGGTTGCAGTTGCAGGAGCAGGAGCAGGACGACAAAGCGGCGGCAACAACGAAAACGTGAGAAATAAAGAACCAAAAAATCGAGAATACAAAAAGCGATTAATATAGCCGCCAAATGTGGTTCAATCGTTTCGTTTTGTGTCGTTCGAGTACTTTATTAATTTCTCTTTTTTTCTGGGCGTTGTTTTTTTTTTTTAGCTGTGGTTTCAATCACTCATTATAAAACAGTGCATGCAAAAAGGACATGCCAATAATACGCATGCAATCAATGGAAAATAAACGCTTCCACTAGTATCATGCAAATTCTATTCGAAAATAAATGAAAAGCATCCGTATGGACTTTCGTTGATGAGGTTGATAGGGGGTTCTACGGGCTTCGATTGATTGATTGACTGATTGATTGATTAATGGTCTGATTCAACGATGGATTGATTTGTTTGATTGACTGTAATGATTTTCATTTGCTTCCTTTATAGTTTTTATTTGTATAGCATACTTTTTTGCGACCATAAACAGAATCACAGTCGTGTTCCAAGTTTCATTTTCACCAAAATTTAGTGGAAATTTAAACTACGAATGAATTCTGTGAGATTTGAGAATAAACTGTTTCTAAGGATATTCTTAACATAAATTTCACTTTGTTAATGAGATTGAGCAACGGGTCGTATTTCTGCCAACAAAAAGTATGCCCATGAATCGTTCAAGGATGTCTTATATTTTGAATGAATTTCAATTTAATTTGTCGCCTCAGTTCTTTGACGAAGTCGACTTTCTTATAAGTAGTGTGTGTGTGTATGTATGATATTTTTAACGCATTATTGGCACTATTCCTTTTTTTTTTTTGATCTGTGAATCTGTGAGGCGAGTGGTGTACGCGAGAGTTTGTTGGTTTTGTGGGTGAGTGGCGAATGGTGTACGAGATTTGTTTTGGGTGAGTGTAGATTTTTGGAAAGAGTTGTGCGTGGGGGGCCCTGGGGCCCTGGAGTTTTTACTTAGCCAATCGGTTGGTTCGCTTGATCCCAAGTCTACGAGTAGATATTCTCTTCACTTGCGTACTATAAAAAGAACGAAATGAAAACAATATGTTTAAGCAGATTCGAAACTGTCTACGAGTATAAGTAGCTCGTTGTAGCCTTAGCTTCAGCATTAAGTAGCTCTAGATATATTTTGTATAGTTAGTTATAGTTCTAGATTCGACTTTTGGGTGCATTGAGTGCATTGACTGGCGCCGCCGCGGCGGTTCTTCCAAGCAGCACGCGCTGGGCATTTTCATGTAAATGCTTTCGTGATTGGGTGTTTTACGAGTAGTTGGGTGCTCTTTGGTAGCTTTTGTGTGCCTTTTGCAACCTACATGACATTCTTCCGTGCGCCGAGTGCCGGCGGAAACTGTCGTCGCCCACGTAGTCGGACTCGTTGTGGTAGCACTTTCTCGCTGCCACTGGCGTTTGTATATTCGTGCCATAGTTCGTGTAGCACGTGGAGGAGCCTCCTCCGCCAGCACCGCCGAGGCCTCCTCCCACTCCTACTCCTACTCCGCCTCCGCTCGAGGCCGCCCCGTAGCTGTGGGGAGTCGATGTGGGACCCAGGAGATTGGTGCTGTCGCTTAAGGGATAGGGACCCATGCCTTCAACCGTCAATGAGAACGAGGTCGTACCAAAGACTTTGATTATTACATATAATACGAGTAGTTATAGAAGATTTCGTTTCGTTTTATGTTTTGGTATTTCATGCAAGATTCAGATCAGATTCATAGTCGCCAGATTTGTTGTTGTTGTTTGTTGTTTGTTGTTGTTGTTGTTGTTGCGGTTGGTAGCATACATTACATTTGGTTGTGTGGCAAGTGTGTTTTTGGTCCCAGTAGTAGATTGATGATTGATAAATTGATTGATTGATTGATTTGGTTTCCAATGGTTCAAAGTTTGATTCGATTTTCAGTGACAGAATTCATAAATAAACAATTTGAGAGTTAATTTATCTACCAGATAACACGCGAGTATCACATCGATTTCTCAATTGTAGAGTAGAGAGATTATAATAAATACAAGATTATAAATATAAAGATCACAATTTTCTACACGAACAAGCAGCTAAACAACAAAAGAATAGTTTACGACGAGTATATTTCTCATTCCAAATGAAAATTCATTAAGAAAAATACTCTATAATACTCTATAGGCAAACGATAATCATAAATAGAGTTTTACACCACAGATACGAGTATGTAGGTAGGAGTATCATTAAAAATGAGTGGAATGATTGGATGTTTATTTATTTAGATTATGTTTAAACAGAAACAGAACTTAAATGTTGTATAATTGCTCTTTGGAGTATTTGTGTGTGTGTGTGTGTGTGTGCAATGTATATCCTTTCGTTTAGGGGAAAAGTGTCACTAAAATGAATTTAAATTAACATTTAGATTTCTGTTTCGTTTGCGTTTTCGTGTGGGCTGTGATTGTGTGTGTTTTTGAACAGTTTACAAGTCTATTTTATATGTAGGTGTTTTTTTTCTTAGGGGCAAGAGTCCTGTTGCTGTTTCTGTTTCTGTTTATCTAGAGGTAGGTGTGTGCGTGTGTATCTTTATCTGTATCTGTGTGTATTTGTCTTGCAACATGGATATGCAAATATTTGTGGATGTTGTTTTCGAGCAATTTGCACAACAAATAATGAGGAGCAAAGAGCACAAATGGGGATATTAAAAACACAAACTCAAATTGAAATAGAAATACAAACAGAAATTCAAATTCAAACTCAAACAAAAGGTGAAAACTTGTGTAGTGGATTTTTTTTGGTGGTTTCGGGTGGGTGGATTCTAGGGTGGAACGTGGGCTGTGTGTGTGTGTGTGTGTGTGTGTGTGGTGGATGTTGGATTTTTGTTTTGGATTCTTACGTGAGTCATGTTGGGTCTTCTCCTCGGATACCATCAAGGCGGCATGCTCGATGCCAGAATTCATTGATTGTGGCTCCAAGCTATTTGTGCAGTTTAGCATACTCCTGAAATTCGCACACTCTACGATTATGTTTTAAGTGTAAACGTATTGTAAAATTGTAATTTTGCAAAAACTAATGAGAGCAATTTTCCGGGTTGGCAGGGGGGGTACTCAAGACAGTGTGTGTGAGAGAGAGTCAGAGAGAGAGAGAGAGAGCCACAGACACGGAGAGAAAGACCAAGCGAGAGGTTCGTTAAAAGCTTTCTTTCTTTATCTGGGATTTTAAGGGTCCATTGGGTGTGTTTTTCTTTACAGATAGCTGGAAGAGCTCTTGGATGCCTGCTGCTTGGAAGTTATTAGGCGCGGCTGTAAAACAAAATTTTTAATTAAAATTAAACAAAAAAATCAACTGAAAAATGCTAAGAAAATAAAGTTTATTTATAATCAAAAAAAAAAAAAAAAACGTGAAACAAAATTGTATTTAGGCTAGAATTAATACTAAAATCGGAATATTTGCTAGACACAAGACACAATCCAACATTCTCCCATAAAAGATCTTCCATTCCTTGAGAACGAAGGGAGGGGGCAGGGGTCCCTTTGGATCTTGGATATTGGATCTTCCATTCCAGTGGGCAGAGGGGAATGAGGAGCATAACGAAAGTGGATCACTGCGCTTTGGGTCTCTTGGAGGCCTCCCCCTTGCCGGAGGAAGGCGGCGATTGTTGAACATCCCTCAGCGATATGTCAATTTCCGCCGTGGCCGTGGAGCCATTGTTCTCGTTGACACTATCCTCACTAAAAACGCGGTGTGTGGAGGGGACGTAGACATAATCAAAGACATAATCAGTGTGCGTGTGTGTGGATTGGTTGGTTGGTTGGTTTGATGGGGTGTTGTGTGGCATGTGTGGCATGTGGGCATGTGGGCATATGGGCATGTGGGCATGTGACATTTGCCGGTTAACTAAACCAATTTTAATCGTTAATGAGCGGAGATGAGAGGGCGGGGGGCGCTGATTGTCATGAGTCATGATTCGAAGGAGTCATGATGAAGGATGCGGCGGCTCTTATAAATATATATTTTTTTATACGAGTAGATTGATTTTATGCAATAGAGAGAGTTAGAAGTTAGAGAGTAGAATAGTTTAAAGTTCATATTAAAGATATTTGTTGGGTATTTATTTGGATATAGTATTTGCTATGGATTTGGTTTTTTATTTAGATTTGCTTTAAACGGCAGCCACTTGGTTTTTTTTGTTTTGTTTTGTTTTTAATGTATTGTATTTTTTAAGGGGTGGTACGTAACAAAGTAACGAGAAGTACAGGCAAAGTTTTTTAAGCGACATGCCGAAAAATTGTATAGAAAACGTTTGAGCGCACTTTTCATATTTCAATTGGGTTTTTCTTTTTCTTTTGGTTTTTGTTTCTTTGGTTTCTTTGGTTTTGGTTAATGTACATAAATGTTGCTAAATAAAGTACAGCAAATACGATAGCTACGTTTTAAAGTTTAGAAGAAGAGCGGAAACGCATCAGATTCGGATTCTTTGAGATTTAGAGCCCAGCCCTTCTACGAGTGGAGGGGCTTTCTTTTGGGGGGCTTTTGGGGGATAGGTAGCTTTCGGTGTGACTTCATGCATCGGTGGACTTACCCGTACAGTCTACTATCTCGAAAAGTCCTTTTGGTTTTGGTTTTGGTTTTTTTTTTTATCGGGGCATTACAATGGAATGTATTTCAAGTCAGAGAGAGAGAGTTATTTTTTCGAAAGGAGATTGTGCATAAATCAAAACACAAAAGAGAACAAATTTTCAAAGGAAAAGAAATCAAGGGAACCCCCCGAGTCGAAGTGCATATGTTTGCCATCATTCGATTCAAGGGGTATCATAAACAAGGGGTATGCAAACCGCATAATAAACTTCCAAGTAAATGTTAAGAAAAAGTCAGAGTTAGTTCAGTTTTTGGGGTTTTCTTCTTCTTCGGGGTTTTTTTTTGTTAGGGTTGGGGGGGAGGGTTTGGAGGGGGGGAAGATTGCTTTTAGAGTTTTCAGGAACTTCGTCGAACAATTGCCATGATTGGTGTGCAGATTCGTGAGTTTTGAGAATGAAATCGGAAGAACATACCTGCCATTGTTGTGTCGGAAGAGGGCCAGTATCTCCTCGAACGTCTTGTTCTTGGTCTCGGGCACCTTTTTGTACGTGAATATCCAGAAGATGGCCAAGAAAACGCTGAACGGCAAGAACGTATAGTTCTCCAAAGCAGTCTGAAGTGGGCAGGGAATCAGAAAGGATAATCGTTATTCATATGTATATGTCATGGATAAGCCCAAACCCTATCCCACTCACCTTCATGCTGGGGAAACCAATGCCAACCACGAAATTGGCCATCCAATTCACTAGCACTGCAATGGCCATGGCACTGGGTCGTGGTCCCTGGGAGAAGAGCTCTGCGGTGATCATCCATGGTATGGATCCGGGGCCAACGGCAAAGAAGACCACAAATCCGAGGGTGGCCACAACCGAGAGGTAGGACATCCAGTCGATCATTTCCTGTACGTAACCAAAAAACTCCTATACAAAATGGCATAGTAATCGCATTCTCGATGATTTGTAGGCTTTCTCTTTTCGCGTTTTTCCTTCGTTACTCGTTACTTTTAGCTCGTCTTGCGTTTAACAAAGAGAAAAAACAGTTATTCGTTACTTGAAACTCGTTCCTTCCACTCGTTTCACGTTTAACGAACTGTTTGTTCTCTCATTACTCGTTACTCGCTTAGCGTTCAACGAACTGTCTGTTCAAACCAAAAACAAATCAAGGAGGTTGATGAAATCTCATCAAACAAAGAATAAAACTATATATCGTAACCCTAAGATCGCTATCGCTGACTTTTCTTTTATGCATGAGAGTTGAGTTGAGATTAGAGTATAGCTATTGTTTAAGAATAGTATATTTTCTTAGCTTTTCGGTTCTGTTCTTGGTTCTCAAAGAGTTTCTACCGTTCACCGCAACTGTCGCTCGAGTCTTTTTCTGTGCTGCTGCTTGGGATATTATTAGTAAGAGCGTGATTCTATATCTTACAAAGTAATCAAAATTAAATTAAAATTAAATTAAATTAAAGTCAATTAAAAGTTAAAGTTAAAGTTAAAGTTAAAGTAAGCTTTAATCGTAGTCTAAGTCGACATTGAGAGTAGTGTTTCGTTTGTGTTTTGATTTAAAAGCGATTGCTTTTCAGCGCGAGTGCTCTTCTGCTTCTGGCTCTATCTTTTGTACAGTTACCAACACTGCTGCAACAGTGTTGTGTCTCAGTGTTAGTGTTGGCTAGTGGCAGTAATGGAAACAGGGTGCCGTGTCCGAAAAACGTTTTTGCAGAGTTGTGTTCGATTATTGCGATTGTTGCCTTTGAAACTGTGTGGTTTGGATTGCTTCTAATAGAATTGTTTGGCCTGATCATAGCGAAAAGTAAAAGCAAGAAATAAAACAGAATTCAAATGAAAACAGATTCGTCAAATGATTTCGATTTCGAGTGAGTGTTTGGTTTGGCTTGGTTGTTGTTCTGTGTTCTGTGTGGGTGGGCGAAAGCCTGCCAAGTCGAGAATAGCTTTTAAATAAGGGGCGGGGACGGGTTGCACGCGGGGAGCTGAATCCATGGGGGAGCCCTTTCACCGGCAGTCGTCGCTCTTCCAGTCTTTGTGGAAGATGACAGCGAGTGCCGGCTCTGACTCTGCTTTGACGGGGTCTCAGGACCAGCTCTCACTCGTGCAACAACTTAAGACTAGGCAAACGCAAAATTTCAAAACACAACTCATAAATGCATTCTAAAGGCAAGCAAGGTGCAAAGAGTATTATAGAAAATGTTACGGCTTAAAATTACGCTAATATATTGCACTAAATTATGTGTTTAAATATTTAAAAATTGTTTGAGAGGCCCATGGCTAATCATGCAATATCAAGCGGGAAAACAGATTGCAATCCGATGAAAAAACGATAATTAATAACCCACAAAAGCGATACCATGTGTAGGCCTATAAATTACGACTAAATAGGTATATATGTATTATGTATACATATTTACATGTATAAAGTAGGTATAAAATACAGGTACAAATTTAATGGCTGAGGGAGAGGGGGAGCTCTAGCAGCAGAGGCTATAAATTCATCGTGTTATAAATTCAAAATATATCTCACATCAATAATTTATAGAGAAATGTACGCGCGGGACGACTGTCATGCCATGTGTGCCCTCTTCTCTTCTCTATCTCGTTCTCTTTCTCTTTCTCTTTGAGGGTATCTATGTGTTGAGTGTGCATCTGCGTATGAGGAGTGTACTCGGTGTGAATGTGAGTGTACTCGTGTTTCTGTGTGTGTGAGTGTTTTTGGTTTTTTGTTTGTTTGTTTGTTTGTTTGTTTGCTGCTTAGCTCTTTTTAGGGGGCTACGGCTACTGGCACTGGGGTTTGTTTAAACACAACTTCATGCATAAAATATTCATATCAATATTCAAATATTTATAAAAACACACGCATTCGCTTGGACGATATGCAGATGTGGCAAGAACGAATATACATATTTATCTAAGGGATATACATATGTATATAGGGATAGAGTAGTTTCAACAGCATCTCCCTTAAAATCATATGCAAATGCGAGACACAAAAAAAAGGGAACAAACTGCAGGCATTCCACATTCGCATTCCACATTCCGGGGAATATATATGTATAATATAGTATTAATACATAATATTGTATGCTATAGCACAACCTGGCCACTCCTGTACTTGCCTTGATCAAGAACGAAATCGTTATGAAAATGGAGAAGATGAACATGCCCCCGAGGCCGTACAAGTGCAGAGTCCTACGACCCGTGCGATCCATCAATGGAATGGAGACCAGTGTCATTACAACCTATGGGAGAGAAGCGCCAATGTTAGACACATTTAATGATGTATGAAATGATCGGTAATTCTTGCCATTATGGCGCCTATGCCTATCGTAGCAAACTTGGCGCTCTCCTCCGTCAAACCCGAGCTCATGAACAGCGATGTGGAGTAGTAGAAGACGGCGTTGATGCCACTGAATTGCTGACTCAGCTGCATTACAATGCCAATGATCAATGGGGGACGCAGGGTGGGCGAACAGATGAGCTCCATGGTGGAGATATGGCTCTCGGCCTGCTGGGCACGCTCCTCGGCGCGCATCTCCTCAATGTCCTCTTCGACAGAGCCAGAGGCGCGGAGCCGTCGAAGGGCTACAAGAGGGAATCAATATGCTATAGATACGGATACTAAAAGTATATTTAGGATGCGGGGTACCTTTTCGTGCCTCCTCCTCCCATTGTTTGGTAATCAGCAAATATCGTGGCGACTCTGGGCAGACGGGCAGTAAAATTAGTTGCAATATTGCTGGACATATGGCCAGGCCGAGGAGTATGGGCCAGCCCTCGTTGGTGCCGAGGATCTGCTCGATCCCCAGGACCTGGGATAATAGTAAACCTACAGTCACAGCCAATTGATTAACAGTACCTAAGCCACCGCGTAGATTCAGTGGCGCTATCTCCGAGATGTACATCGGCACTAGAGATGTATTGAGGCCTGAATGGGGGAATATGGCAGAAAGTAGATTTGAGTTTAGAGCATCTATTCAATCGGAGATCAGAATACGTACCACAATTAACGCCAATTATAAATCGGCCAAGGAATAACATTTCATAGGAATGACTAACTTTGGTAAAACCCATCAAACAAGCACCCGATATTCCAAGTACATTATTCAATAGTAGGCCGCCTTTTCTGTGGATCCAAAGAGATATCGAAATCATATATATCATCTGTGGACTGGATGGTCATTGGGGAGTGTTGTCATCCCTGAAACTTACCTGCCAAATCGATTGGCCATCCAGCCGCCACTGAAACCGCCGAGCATGCCGCCAATGGCAAAGATGGACACCGCCACCGAGTAGAGCTGCTGGATGAACTCCTCGCTAATGTCCTCGCCGTAGCGGTCCTTGTACACATCCTTCATGAAATTCTCGATATTCTTCTCCGGGGCATTGATCACTCCGGTATTATAGCCGAACTGCAGCATCCCCAGAACCGCCGAGAAGATCGAGTACGTGAGGAAGAAGGTGAGACCCTGGAAAATGTGTGCCGAAAGAAGAAAATGTATCCATTAGTCTTGTACAACATCTGCCCGAAGGGGAGGACAACGGAAGGACATTTAAGGATTCGGTTCTTGGGGGGTTCTGTGCGGGTCCATCAAACGCTTTGCAAACAAACGAGTGTGCGGTACAGTAAAACCAAATATTCAATATCCATAATCCATAATCCATAATCCATCGATCGATTGATTCTCTAAGCATACGTTTTCGCCAATTATTCTAATCGAAACTTAGGCATAATCGAAATCATACATAAAACTCTGATGAATGGAGAGTGTCTGTCTGGTGGGATGTTTCAAAGGAAAATTTATTCAAAAGATAAAGGAAAATCATATCCAAATAATATTTTCGTTTTATTTCCTTAGCTTTTCGCTTATAAACTTAATAAAAACTTAAAATTATAATTAAAAATACCATTGTTCCACTAGAAGGAGATCTGTTGAATAGTTAAATGTACAAATTTCGCATAAGCGGGGGATACATTCCTAGAATTATGTAAATGATTCATTAAAAGGATAGATTGACTCGCTGATCAAATTCCTCATAAACGAAAGGCCATATCTCGCAAGTAGCAGTCTGTTATGAAATTCAAAAAATATATCGATGCTATATCGACTGTAGGACGTCTCCTGCTAATGGAACTGGTGTACAAAAGATTCCTACATAAAGTACGTTGATGACAAAGCCGTCTGTATGTGTGTGTCTGTGGGATGTGCAGAAGCTGGTGCCCAAAATCGGGAATAGTATATATCCCATTTTTCAGGTAGCAGCTTCTGCTGTCAGTGGACGTGTGTGTGTGTGTGTGTGTGTGGAGCGTGTGGTATGTGGATGGCTGGACGTCTGGATGGATGGGTGGCAAGGTGGCAAGGTGGTTCTGTGGCAGGGATGACGGGATGGTTGAGTTTTTAGTGGGCTTAGTGGGTGGGTGGTTTTAGTGGACAAGTGGCAGTGTGTGTGGTTAGTGGTTGGTGGTTGGTGGTTTTGGTACTTTGGCTCTTTGGTGGTGTAGTTCGGTTTGTAGTACATGAGATAGAGAAATGAAATTCAAGTATTTAATTACACAACATGGCAAATAATTTAAGCTACAAACTTGTTCTAAAAGTCTTAGCTTCCGTCGGTGCGTGTGCTCCTCCAGTCTGTCGACATATTCGCGCAGCTCCTCGATCTCCTCCTTCACCTGCTGCACGGTGTCCAGTTCATGTTTGATGGCCACCATATCACGTTTGACCTGTTCGACAGACGGTATAACATATATTCGATCAAACAATAGAGCGGAGCGGAGGATACTCACCTCTGAGACTTCACTCTGGCAGGACTCCACGGATTTGGTCAGCTCTTGGAGCTGAGTGCGAATTTCGCACAAGGCGACTGTCGTCTCCAGGTGTCGATCGCCTCGCTGCAGCTCATCGAGTTTCGCTGATAGATTCATGCTCATCACGCTAACTTGCTTTTGCAAACTGTACAATGTAAATATAATTCAATTGCACAGTCACGGTAGCATGCCACAGTTTCAGTTCCAGTTCCAGGGCAAGAGGTCACGCAAGGGGTTGCAAGTAGGTTGTTTTTTTTTTTTTGTTTTTTTTTTGCGGTTGTCCAGTTGCAGAGAGTCGCAGGCGGAGGCGGAGGCGGAGTCGCAGTCAAAGATTAAGAAAATATCAAGCAGAAAATGCACTTTAGTCGTACGATACGCTACATGGCTTTCATTTCGGCCGAAATCCTACTATATAGTACATATATACATATACATATACGTATATATATATGTATGCATATATATGGTACTTGTATCGTATATAGAGCTATTTAGCGTGTACGTATACGTAATTTATTTCGCAAAAACACACACAGAAAACGAAATTATTTATGACCGCTTGCATTAAAATTTACTGAACTATGCAATTATTGAGGAATGGGGAATGGGGAATGGGGAGTGGGGAATTCGGAATGCGGCATGGAATGGGGAGCAACATTAATATTAAGAGCCAAGGAAAACGCAGCAACAGAAAAGAGTGGGAAAAACGTAGGAAGGTGGAAGATGGAAGGTGGAGGCAGGAAGGAGGCACGGGTCAGGCAGTCGAAAACAGGGAAAAGAGAAAGCTGCGGAAAAACGCACACCAGATACAACAGCAGGCAGCTCTTTCTTGGGGTTCTTCTGTGCTGTGGTTCTGTTTCTGGTGGCAAAAGTCCAAGAGCAAACGAAGGGATTTCTATGGAAACAAAAAAAAAAAAGTTAAGAGCACGAAGGATGAGCAGGAAAGGAGGCAGAAGCAGTCGAAAGAGGAGTAGCACGAAAGGATGCAGAAGCAGTTGGTTGTTTCTCCAACAAATACGAAAACAAAAGCCAGGACAGGGCCCAGGAACACGCCCAGGCCCAGGCCCAGGCCCAGAAGGCAGTCGACGTCGACGGGCCACTAAGTACATAAAAAAGTAACTTAAACTAAATTGTTGGCATATTTCGTTAAGGTCCAAGGCTCAAGAGTAATGGGAAAGTCGAAAGTAGAAAGTAGAATCCAGAAAGAATGAAAAATTGATGGTATTATAGTCGCAGTGGTAGTCGTAGTGGTGGTCGTAGTCGTACTCGTTGCAGAGCTATCTCATCCCTTTAAGTCGCTGCCACATCCGAGAGGCAACCATCATTTATTAAAGATACCCGTACAGTCCGCCTTTTGTTTGGTTGCTTTTTTGTTCTAGTTCTAATCCTGTTTATGCTTCAGTATCAGCATGCCCTTTCCTCTCCTCCCGTGTTGGTCCCATCGAATGCATTAGATTTACATTTTCATCAGAGAAAACAAATCGCTGGCGCGCTGTTTGCATTAGTTTTTGGATCCCAGAAATATCCATATTCGTGCTGCTTTTTGTGCGTTCGAGAGAATGCTGTTCGTACAACAAACAAACAGGCGAACATGCAACAAACAAAACACAGGCGTACGAACGAACCGGCATCTAAATCAAATGCCAACAATAGCAAAAAGCCATCATTTGAGGGTCGAAACTGTTGATACCCTACCCTTAAACACTGACTATTACAGAAGTTATACCCCTAGTTTCAGTGGGAGGTTATTCGTCGTCTCATTCGTTTCGAATGACAGGAACGGAGACCTTCATTTTGCACAACATGTGTAAATCCTGACTGCGAACGAGAATACTTTCGATTTCGATGTGGCATTAGATCATTCCGTTTTCTGCTTCACGAACATTTGATGGAAATCATATAACCCTCCGCTAAATCTCTAAATTATAGTCACCAGGACGACACACTCTATGGTGGCGTGGTAGCGAAAGGGCAGCGTTGCTGCACACAATGCGCATACGACACGTGGGCCGGGTACTCTGGAGTCCATGCCGTGCCTCTCGAGCTGCTGCTGCTCCGCATTATGTTAATGCGGATGAGGCACTGAGGCAGCGGGGGATCTGCTGCTGCTGCTGCTGCCGCTGCTGCTGCTGTTGCTGCTGTCGTTAGTATTGTTATTGTTTTGCATTTGCACGGACATTGTTTTGCCGAGCATAAAAGGATTATTTTATGCATACATCAGCGAACGTTACGTTACGGAACGGAACCGAAAACCGAAACCAGAAACCAGAAACCGAAACCCCCGACCATAGCCGAGAGGCGGCAGCAGCAGCACGCCCTGGAAACCAGAACGGAGGACGAACGGCAGGCGGCTGCCACTGTTGGCATCCTGTTGTTGCAAGTTATTGTTCTCTCTCAATGAAAACAATTGCTATCCTATCTGCTGTCTGCCTGCAACATGTGTATTGGCAACACACAGCACAGCACAACTGTACTTGCGGTTGTCTCTCCTTTCGTCCGTTTTGTCTTCTGTCAGCTGCAGGAATTTTCAGTTTTGTATAATGGATTTGTATACGTGAGCATTTAATAAATTTTCTGCCAATTTTCTCCGCTTTACGTTTCCTTCCCCCTGTCTTTACCTCCGTCTCCCCCCCTTCATTCATTAAAATCTCGTGCGTACGTGCGTCGCCCTTGCGTCGAAAATGGATTCCACATGCCACATATGAATGTATCTGTTCGGTTTTCGGTTCAATTTGTCACAGGAGTGGAAATCCTAAGACAAAGCCAGGGCTTGCCCTCTACGGATTATTTTTTTTGGCAGATGATTTCATTCCCATTAGCTTTGGGAGGGGTAAAACCACCTTCTGCAAGGGAAACCCCCCTCTGCAACGAGTACGAATATGGTTTCCATCGACATCATCATTGAGACGTTCGTTTTCAACGTTGAAACATCAGTTACGGGTCACAGGTTATAGGATTCTGCTTATGGAAACATCAGTTCGAGGTCATATTATTTTCAGATTTCAGTGCACACACAATACATTTGAAGGAAATACACATACATAAAATGAATTGAAAGCATAATTCGATTATAAAGATCGGATCGGTTCAGAGCAGTTGGGAAGGGGGATACAGATCGAATCAGATCTGTTAGGGATAGTGGAAATACGGATACGGATACGGATACGGATACGTAGGATAAACCAATTGGCATATAGGACATTCACCAAACGCTAACACATGTGCTGCAGCTTCTCGTGGCATTCTGTTCTGCTGGCATCATATTTTGTGAATTAAATATCAATTTTATTTGCGGTTGCGTTGATTTTCATTGATTTTCCAGGGTCTCTCAATATTTTATGATTTGCATAATTCATATTTTGATGTTGATTCTTTTTGTGTCTGAAATTTCTCAATTTGTTTTTTCACGGCTGGATATTCCTCAATTTCTATAAATTCTATAAATTATTATAGAGAGATATATGCAGAAAAGCAAAATGTTGTTCAATGGGAAACAAAACAAATGGTGGAGACGGAGGCGGAGGCGGACGAGGAGGGGGAGGGCAGAGGGTGTCTGTCCCTCCCTCCCTATCATGTGAGTGGGTGAAGAGGCAACAACAAAGATGCAACAAAGATAGCAACAAACACTATGTACTTTTTCTGGGGTTTACTGTTTTGGTAGTTTGTTTCCCTCTTTAGTTAGTTTTTTGTTAATTTTGTTGGTAGAATGACCGTTACGCCAATTAGTTTGGGGTTTTCCTTTTTTTCTTTTTTTGGTTGGTTTTTTTTTTGGTTTTATGGGTGTTTTTTTTTTTTAACCATAAAAACTATGTGTGCAGTAAATTATTGCAGCAAACGAAACGAAAATGGAAACCAGAACAAAATGAAGGACATTTGACAGATGTTACACGATGCGTTTTCAACCGACGCGTCGGTGCTTCATGGTCATTGCATTTTGCCATTCACACTATATTGCTTACACAAAAACTTTGGATCATATAATATTCTGTCGTAATACAGTCGCATTTTCCTTCGGCGACATTAACGGAAACTACTGAAAGTTTTGTTTTATTTTTTGTATACATGAGAATGGCATTTTTTTCCCAATGGAAATGGCTGCTTTTAAAGCGTTTAAGGATGTCATTTTCTTTACATTTTCACAAATGAGGTGTTTTTCTAAATAAACTTCTGAAAAACTACAGAAAGCTTTGTTGGTTTTCGTATACATGAGAATGGCTCTCGTTTTCCCATGTGAATGGCTTTTTATAGCTTATTCGCTTCACAATTCGGCAGACTTTACGTTTCTGAGGTTTGTTTCTGATGATTTTGGATCAAAAACACATCGTGTAACAGCAGTAACTTTGAAAAGTGGACAAGTGGAATATATCCCGAAAACATATTGTGTGACTGACTGACTGACTGGCTGATTGACTGACTGATGGATTACGACTACGGGGGAGTGGAGTATGGACAGTGGAGTGGATCGTGAGAGTGGAGGAGGCAGAGTGGGAATGGAGCTAATTATGAGCTTTGATGACATGCAGAGAGGAGAGGGACACCAGAAAGAGGGCGGCAGAGAGTCAGGCCCTAAACCGCATGCTGATTGACTGCCTGTGCGAGTACGTTTGTCAATGACTGTACATGGCTTTTTCTCTCTGGATCAGTGACTGTGTGTGTAGTGTGTCCTGCGACTTAATGGGCACTCAAACACTTTTCGGCATGTCATAAAAAACATGACACAGGCAGGCAGGCAGGCAGGCAGACAGGCAGGCAGCCGCAAGGCTGCCCCTCGAGGGCACTACATGGCGCGCCGCACATCTCTCTTCGCATATACCCTCTCCTGGGGCCACACTCTCTCTCCTTTGGAGACTATGTACATATATTCATTGGTAAAACTAATTTAATTTATATTTTTGCACATAATTGAATACTAATTGAATGTTTGCATGCAGATGGAAATGGAAATGGCAAATAGAGAGAACGAGTTGTGGCAAATATTCGAATAATCAACAAATCAATTTGAGTGCCAAAAACAGAGAGACGGAGAGAGTCCAGAGTGCAGAGAGTAGGGGTTACAGGTTACAGGTTAAAGGGGGATTAAACATTACAAAGAGTGAAAGAGAGGGGGGAGGGGGGATTAGCAAATATATTTCGATATTTAATTGAAGTTTATTTGGTTTTTTGGAACTAAATTGCATACTCATTGAGTGGCGTGAATACCAAACCACTTTGCGAGTGGCTGCATCGTTCATGTTGTTGTTGTTCATGTTGTTGTGGCAGTGGCAGTGGCAGTGGTGGCAGAGTGGCACAGACAGAAAGGTGGATGAAGTGGATGACAAAAGAGCACATATACTAGACATTGGGTACAACATAGTGTGAGTGTGTGGTGGCAGAGTGACACTAATGGAATTTCTTTCGGCAGCCTCGCTTCAAATTTAGCGGCATCCCAGAAAGTAGACAACGAAATTCACTCGAGCGTCTGTCCTTAAATTGCAGCAGCCCCGAAAGTATGCTACAACATATGTGCTAAATAGACATATGATGCAAATTGTCAGCGATACATAGCGTACCAAATTCGTTGCATACTTTTGGGGCTGCCTAAAATGGTAGACCAACTAGCAGGCCTGTCCTCGATTTCATTTCCACAAAAACTGACATTTGAATTAATAGAATTTAATTTATTAGCAATGATCACCGACAGTTCTCAACAAACATTTAAAACTTTACCAGCATTTAATTTTCCAAAAATGTGAATAAAACCGAGAACAAGATTGGTTATTACAGGAAATCAAATATTCTGAGCAATGGACAATCATTGTTTGCTGACTCAATCACTCAATAAACTCTGGTGACATTTTATGAACATTTTTCGTGTTTGATTGCAGCTTTTGCTGAGCAACAAAAGAAGTGACGGGTACGTAAAAAGTGACAGAAAAATATAAAAAAAAAAACGAAAAAAATTACAGCAAAACAGCAAACAAATGTAAAATTAGACAAAATTGAATAAAAGCACTAATTTTTGCAATAATTTACAGATTTTACAGATACACAATTCAGATTCCGAAACGGAAACAGAAACAGATGCAACACATTTTTTGCAATGAATGAATGAATGAGTGAAAGAGACTCTTAAACGAATGCTGCTGCTCATTATGGCGTGATGATTATTCGTGATTATTCGTTAGATAGATGTGATTAATTGTTAAAATGAATGTTAGTTAGTGTTTAATGTTAGTTAGTAATGCTAGTAAGCGGAATGTGGATATGGATATGTACCTGGGTGGCATTGTGCCCATCATTTTGCTGCTGGCTTTTTATGCTTATTTCTCTGCTCCGTTGTTAAGTATTTTAGATGCTACTTATCTTATTATTGGTATTTTTAATATATATATTAGGTATAGTGATTGGTTCGTTGCTTTTGCCTTTTTCTCTCGGATTTGTTTTTGCTTTTTCTTTTTCTTTTCTTTTTGGTGAATGTCGTATGTGCCCGCAGGTTTTGTTCGAGGGTACTTTCTCGAGGGTATCAGAAACAATACACACAACACACACAATGGGCAATGGGCAATGCGCAATGGGCAATGGATGATGCCGCTCAATGCGCCCTCTCAATGAATAATTGACAGAAGACAGTAGTCTAAAGGACACACAGGAGGAACACACTTAAATGAACACAAATCTGTTAAAGGAATGGAGAAACACATTGGATCATAGTACATATACAGATACAGATACAGATATATCTCTTATCAAATTAACAAAAAACACATCAAAACAGAGACCGAAATTAAATTTGAAATTAAATTGAATTGAATTATTCGGAACATAGAAAAACATTAATTGTTTTCATAAATTAAGCCAAATTCCACGCGAAATAATTGCTGTTTATTTGCGGAAGATATTTATGGCTGCCCCCCCCCCTCCAAACGGTGCGTGCCACCAAAATAAATGACTCTTAATGAGTCATTATCTGGGGCATGCAACAGAGGGGGTTGTATAGATTCATTTAAAATACGAGTACATAGCGCGAGACCGAGCGAGCGAGAGAGAGTGAGTGAGTGAGAGAGAGAGAGATACATACTCGAGCAGCAATTGGCGCAATGTGGCCTCGTCCTCTCCATGACATCTCAATCTCGATTCACGATCACGATCATCCCGACTCGAGGAGGAGGTGTGGCGCTGCCGCTTGGGGGCATAGCTAAACGAATGACGATAGAAACGGCCGTTGTTTTGTATATTCTCTGCACCACCACGATAGGCGTCTGTAAAAGCACGACGAATATATACATATATATATATATTATCTGGAGCATACAGGATATATTATGTCTATGTATATTCTTACCTTCTGGTCGCAATCGCACTGGCGGTGATGTCAGCTTGAGTTGTTGTGACGTTGTTGAGGGCGGATTCTTACGTCGACCACCAAACACATAATCGTAGGAATCTTCGCTCAAATTGGACACTGGATTGGATCGATCGATCGGTACATTGGTAGATTGGTAGATTGGTAGATATGGTAGTGGGGGGGTGGTGGAGGTATGGACGGAGTTTAGATTTGGGAAACAACGCAAAGAACACCATTTAAGGCTTCGATTTCAACACTTTTGATACACAACAACACATGAAAAGAAGCACAAACTGAACCGAAACTTAAACGAAAATCAATGCAAATAACAGATATTCGACCAAGGACATTGTTTATAAATATCATTGAATAATAAAGGTATACCACTAAGATTTATTTCATAAGCGAACAATTACTATTAAATAATAATATTCCGTACAGAAAATATCACAAATTCGACCGGAACATAAAGAACGGTACATATATGGGCATTTCCTGCGAAGATTCCATCGACATGGAATCAATATATTGCCTAGACTTTCGCTGAAATCTGAGTTTGAATCGAACGCCGCGAAAATTACTTCTATTTTTGTCCCGTGCGAATGCCTTGGATTTTTTGCAAATCAAGGACTTCTTAACAATAGAAAAATCATTTTGAAAATCTGTCAATGTATACGATTGTCCCGTCCCGTTCGGCTTCTTGGAAATGCCCATATGTTCTTTTGGTAATCTTGGCATAAACTAATGAAAACTAAACCGAAACGAAATAATATTAATATATTCTTTTGGATTAGTGTATACTAACTCTAGAAACACAATTAATCCCAAAAAAAACATTCAAGGATAAAGCAAAATGAGCAGAATTCAATCGAAATAATGAATATATTAAACAAATATCGCAGGAATCTTTTCCATTTAGACACAATATATCGTGATACCCACACTTAAATATACCACATACAAATCACCACTAAATCAAAACTAAATCCCAAAGAGTCCCAAAATAATCAAAATAAAGCCATCGAAATGTTCATAAAACTCACTCTAAAAACCACAATAAATCACGCATTAAACCATCAAAAGCATTATAAAAATAAAGAAAATATGAAAAAAAAAAAAAACGATACAAAATCAAATGAAATCCAAACAAAGCAAATATTTAGTTTGTCAAGATTTCATGGTCATATAATATCATTAATTTGTGGTAGTTTTGGTTGTAGTTAAAGTTGTTGCAGTTCGTTGTAGGCAGAGGCAGAGACAGAGAGAGATAGAGAGATTGTTGGGTAGATTGTTGTTGTTGTTCGTGTTATATTCGTGAAGATTGAAAGAAGAGAGCACACAAACATCATTGTAGTTGTTATAACATTTTCATTGTTCATTGCATACAATTTTCGGTGTTTCGACAGCACAAAAGGTTGTGGTCTTAAAGGGGGAGGGCGGGGGGCTGGTAGTAGGCTTAAAAAAGAGCCCCAAAAAAGCGCAACTGCTAAAAAACACATTCCGCTGTTGTTTCTCTCTAAAGAAAAGCACAGCTTCAAAAAATAGACACACACAAAAACGAGAGAGAGAGAGAGAGAGAGAGCATAGATCATGGAAAAAGTGTAAGCAGGGAAAGTGGTTTTCCCGTTTTAGTGGGTTGACGGGCGAGCGGGCTGAAGGTTGAAGGTTGAAGGTTGAAGGGGAACAGCAGCATACAAATAAAAACTATTATCAAAAAATGGCAATACAAACATCAGGCAAATATATAGAACTGTTCGAACATATAGAGACACAGACAGAGAGAGACAGAGAGAACGAGAAAGAGATAGATAGAGTTGATTTGAAATGTGAAGGAGCGATAGAGATGTTTGGCTTTTGATTGATTGATTGATTGATATTCTGACTGACTGACTGACTGACTGACTGACTGATTGATTGAATGTGTGGTGCTTCTGCTGCTGTTTGCAAAAAAGTTAGAGGGGGGTGAATGGCGGTGGGTTCAGACCCCAAAAAGTGTAGGGGAGGGGAATGGACAGTGTAGTACGAGACGAGTGTAGAGTTATGTGCTGGTCCGATGTGGAGTGTACTTATGTATAGGTGGACTCGCAGCGCAAATGTGCCCATAAGCGAAAGGCTCCATAGGCCAGAATCGACCTGGGATGCTTAAACGATGAAGCACCAAGAACAATCGCCGATTGAATGGTTGAAACTTGAAGGACTGCTTCAATTTGATTGCAAATTACTCAAATATTTGGGTTCTAGATGTAAACTGCTTGGCATTCGGTCCTACAAGCCAGCAAACATCATCTGGGAATGTGAGTGGGTGAATGGGAATGGAATGTGATGTTCTTCTAATGGAACCAATGCAAAGTACGACGGTGTGTGTGTCAGAGTTCAGGTGTGGCTGTGTGTGTGTGTGTGTGTGTGTGTGTGTGCGTGTCGGTGTGTGCAATGAGGTGTTTTATTTGATAGAGAAAGAGAAAATAAACTAAAAAACGAGAACAGAACAGAACAGAACCGAACCGAACCGAACAGAACAGAAAACTATAAATAAAACTAAAATCCAATACCAAAAGGGCAATCGAACAGAAGCCCCAATCTACACACCAATTAAAGTTGCAATCAATTGGAAAACTGGGCTCCAAAACGAACGGCAAGTGGGTGGAAAAGGGATGGAAAATGATAGATAAGAGTGGCGGGCAAAGGGCAGAGCCACAAATAAAAACGGTAGCAGCAACAGCAACAAATTGGTGCGCAACAAATTTTATAATGGGGCACAAAAATCTCTATGCAAAAAGCAAAACCAAAACACAACAACAAAATAAATGGGAATAAAATACAGAAACCGAAACAGAAACAGAAACGAAAGAAACGGCAGGCAAACAACAATAACAAACAGATATGCAACATTCTGTGGCAGCGTGGTGGCACACCTGGAAATACGCTCAATGGCTGCAGCACTTGGGTGGAACGCAGTGGCGGTGGTAGCGGTGGCAGCTGTCCAAACGGATCTTGATCGTTCGAAATGGAAGACGTCGGCGGTGAGATGATCATCGATGATATGTCACCAATGGTCGCCATGTCATTGATCTGGCAGGCTTCTCCAACGAACGGATTGTAGCGGAGACGAGAGAGCAGAGGAAAGAGAGAAGTACATTACAATTAATAAGGAGAGAGAATCATTGGGCGAGCTGAGAGCGTTGAGAGAGCGGTGGTCTTTAGAGATGCTTAAAAACTATGGTTTATTGTGCGTTTGGGGGGTCTCTGTGTCCCCAAAGGGACTACGGGAGCATGGTAGCATGGAAAAGCTTTTAATTCCGGAAAAAGAGAAAGGAAAGAGGAGGGGAAAAGGGCAAGGAAGAGGAGGGGAAAAGGGTTAGGGTATAAGTGTAAGGCAAAGGCAAAGGCAAAGGCAAATGCTAAAAAGGTATGTGCGGCAGTGCGGGCGCCATATTTCGCACATAAATTGTATGCCAAAAAGGGGGGAGGGGCTTTGGTCCCGGTCCGGGTCCGGGTCCGGGTCCGAGTCCAAGGATGGGCGTTGCATGCATCGCTGCATACGCAAAAGCAACGCCTCGACAAAAACACAGTAAGAGTAAGAGTAGGAGCGGAAGCGAGGGCGAGGGCGAGTAGAGAGAAGTAGAAAAGAGCCTGGAGAAAACCCAACCCCGGGAAGAACGAAGAAATCGTAGGCGAAAAGGAAAACCCATACATATGCACACACGAGCATGTGTGTGTGTGTGTTTGAGTGTTTGAGTGTGTGTTGTGGTGCGTGCCTCTGCATAAAATAGATTTCCATTTTGATTCGAAGGAAGCAGCAGCAGCAGCAGCGGAAGGACCGCAAGTCTTTAAGCTATTCCGCTGTGCACCCTGTTGTGGCATGGTGCATGCCACATGCGGCCCAAGGTGCAAAAGGTGAGCTTCCAACAGAAAGAGACTCCCATTAGAGAGCGAGAGAGAGAGAGGGAGAGAGCGGGGAATGCGGAGAGGATCAATCAAAGTTCAATAAAAGTCAGGTCAATCGAAGGGAAGCCTCATATGTGATGCCATTTTCCTTACATTTTCCATTCCCCCATTCCCCCATCTCCCTTTACCCTCCTCCCATTTGCACAATTTGTAAGCCCCCTTCATCCTTTGGCAGGACTTAAAAAATGCCTCGTTGGCTGTGCGATAAATGTGTGTTCCGTGCCCCAAAGGCTACTCCTTTCCTCCGTGCCTCCGTGCCTCCGTTCCTCCATTCCTGTTCTTGTGGTTTTGGGTCTCTCTCGCAGCCCCTTCCTTCCTTCCTTCCGACCTGCTGCCACTAGCACTAACACACGTGCAACAGCATCCGCAGCAGCTGCCTTTTTCTACCGTTCGACGTCGTTCAAGCGTTCCAAGGGGGGAGGACGGAGGAGGGAGGTCGGGGATATTTTGAATTTTTATTATTTGCAATTTGCGTTAATGTTGTGGAAAAAACAAGCATGTGGCAAGGTGGCAGAAGAAGGAGGTGCCCTTGTTATGGCTTTGGCTTTCGGCTTTCGGCTATCGGTATATCCCCCCTCTGCCCCTCTGTCCCTCTGTCCCTCTATCACCTTCTTCTTCGCCTCTTCTACTGCCCCGTCCTCCTTCAATTTTAGCCCCACTTTTTCTTCTGGCTTCCCATTGAATGGCCATTTGTGTCACACACACACACGCACACATGCAGAGGGTGTGTGTGTGTGTGTGTGTGTGTGTGTGCATACACGCATACACTAATGACCTTTTCATGGGCGCCCTGCCCCACTGCGTCCCTGTCGATGAATGCAAGAAATGTGATGGCAAATTATGGGCCTCCTCTCTGGATTCGCCCCTGCCACATCGTGCGTCGCACTCACCATAGGCACATCCCTTAGCCACATTTACAGCCCCACATCTCCGTATCCTTGTCAGAAGCGAGCCTCAACCTCAGCCTCAGCCTCGTCATCATCCGCATCCGCATCCGCATCCCTTTGGGTCGTTCTCCCTTTACGAGGATACACCGAGCACCGAGCACTGAGGACCGAGCACTGAGGACCGAGCACTGAGGACCGAGTATATTGACAAAATGATTTGTAAACATTTTTCGCATCATTAGTTCTGTACTGCGGTGGTGGCGGCGGCGGCGGCGGCGGCGACGGCTGCTCCTTCGTACGAATATTCTGTACTCCTCTGTGATATCTGCAGATCCCTAGCCCCTGTTCCTGGGGCAGTCTGGGGCAGTCTGGGGCATGGGGCATGGGGCATGGGGCATGCGGTGCGGTGCGGTGCGGTGGTGGTGCATCATTTCCCTTTTGGCATTTAAGCGATTAAAATCCGTGCATGCCTCATGGCCCATCTGCCCATGAATGCCACTTTCTTTCTCTGTGGGGAGCCCTGTCCATGGCCCATGTCCATGTCCATGGCCCGATCTTTCTCTCAGTAGAATGTCCATGGCCCCTACTCTTACACCTGCCACTGAAGGGATGCCTTTGGATGCTGCGGATTGCTGACACCGCAGCAAAAGAGGAGCAGGAGGAATATAAAAATAAACTGCTTCCGGCTTCAATTGCATCAATGAGGATGGACGGCGACGGCGACGACGACGACGACGACGACGACGACATGGAGTTGCCTTCGAATGAGGGGGAGGAGTAGCAGGACACCGCACGACAGACAGCAGGAGACGGGAGACGGGAGGAGATGCAAGAGATGCAGGATGCAGAATGCAGGATGCAGAGGCTTTGGCAGCAAATATTTGCTTAAATTTGTGCTGAGGTTAAGCTTTTTGTTTGCCTTTGCAGCAGCAGCAACAGCAGAGGGGTGGGGAAGCGAGGGGAGATAAAATATGAATAGGAGAGGGAGAGGTGGGGCTGGAGGTGGAGGTGGAGGTGGAGGTGGAGAGAAGTAGCGGGAGGCAGAGGGGCAAGCGAAAAGGCAGAAGTAAAGTTGATGACATCTCCCCCAATGGCCCCTGTCCACAGCGAAAGGTATATGCAATGTCAGGTGGGGCGCACAGTCTCCGTTACTCTTCGGAGAACAAAGGTCTGCCTTCAAGTGGGCTGCCTTGTTTCATCTCATTTTTAAGGATGGAATATTATGTACTTTTAGATCGAGAAAGACGGTTTTCTACTCTCAAATTAAACACAAATGCAGTGAATTTCCTTTCTCATTCATCGCCAATCGATTGTTAAACGTTTTCAAAGGTTTTTTCCTGGAAAGAAATATGTTTTCCAACATTTATAGACACTTTTATAAGCTACATAGGTTTCCCCACTCCACTCCCAAAAGGCCGACCTTCCCTTCTGACGGCTTGTACCTTGCGTACCACAATTGCGTCTGGGGGCAGCCGCTCCATCCGCTTGGATGCTTCGTTTGGCTTTGGCTTTGGCTTTGGCCCTGTCTCTTGTCTCTTGTCTCGTGGTCTGGCTGGTGGTCGGTCTGCTTCTGCTTTTATCCTTCCGTCCTCCAATGCTGCCCCACTCCTTATTTCTGCTCCTGACATAGAAAAATAGTTGATTGGGGCAAGGGGCAAGGGGCAGGGGCAGCTGCTGCTGCTGCTGCTGCTGCGTTTTGACTGCATGCCAAGGCTGAATGAAAGGCTGAGAGACGGAGAGACGGAGAGGCGGAGAGGAACGACTCCACACTGACGATGATGCTGCTGCTGATGACGCAAGCAGTCAGCCATGTGGCAGTGTTTGTGGCAGCAAGTGCATTGAGCAGTTTATTCACATGTGGCACTGTGTGTGTGTGTGTTGCAAGGCTCTCTGTGGCACCCTGACTTTGAGGCTCCTTCTTGGCCATTGACAAAATATAGAGAAAACCTTTGCCTTGCGACTTGTGCCTCGTGCTGCTGCTTCGTCTTGGGGCAACTTATGAAAAGTGGTCTCCAATCTGGTGCAGGCCTACATGCAACACACTCCCACACTACTCCCCTCTCCATCTCTGCCCCCGAAAGAGGCACAAGCCTTATGCAATCTCCAGACTTATTTTCGGGCTCCGATTGAGGGCCATTTTCCTTTGGCATTTCCCCCTCCCCCTCCCCCTCCCATTTGCCATTTTCCTTTTGTCTCGACGGCGAAATCAAATCATCGTCGGGGGAAAATTGAAAACTTATTAATTCATGAGGGGCCGTCGCTCGCCTAATCAGCCAAGTCCTTGATGTCCCTCGCCCTCGATGGGGGAATGGGAAAAAAATTTAAAATTCAATTAACCGCAAAGGCCAAAAAAAAAAGGGAGGGGAAAACAATGCACTTTCTGGGGGGAGGCAGGGGTATTTCCTCCCTTCCTCCCCCTTCGCATGTGCACGTCCCACACACACGATTTGCCGCCAATGAAAAGCCTTTATAATGCGGCCTGCTGAAAGGAGGCTTTTGTCTTAAGCTAAATGCTTCCATTCACTGATTAAATGATTGATTAAATGAAATAAAAGGCCCTGTCACACACGCACACGCACACAGGCACACCTGTGCATTACAGTATCTTCTTATGCCGCTTTTGTGGCTATTGCGGCAGGTTGTTGCCTGTTCATTAATAGGCTTTTGTCTCTGCTCACCGCAGATACAAAATTATTGCTGCTTAAATGCACTTGAATACCTGAATATCGTATGTGTGGCATCCATTGTAGCCAGTGGCAGTGGCAGTGGCGTGCCCCTTAAATGCTGCATTAACATAGAAAGCAGATAAGCCTGCCCCTCCTCCAGCCATGAGCCTCCTTCCTCCCGTCCTCCTTCAGAGTTGCTTAACTCGAAATTTCCAACCAAATATTGAGAGACAACGAGGACGGGCTCTGCCTCTCTGACTGTTGCAGTACCTATTGTATGTGTCTGGGGCAAGCACTTGACAATCAGCTCTCATCTCACTGGCAACAGGATGGCCTCCTGTACAGCACAGGAGGCAACATCAATAGAAGCAACAGCACAGTATTAGAAGGCAGCATCCTCTGGTCTGGCCGGAGCCCCAAATGTGATAGACACCCCGAGAGGAGGACTCCCAGCAGGCTTGCCACAGGGCAACACAAGCACACACACACACACACACACAGTGGAGCACAAGCCCATTGAAAGTGTGCGTCTAGGCCCCAGAAACCCTGGAAATCTCATCGTCCGATCATTCTAGGAACAACCAGAAGATGGGACCTACATTTCCACATCATTTCGTTCTTTCAAAATCATGAAAATGGGAGTTTCCACTAATTGCAGTTGAAGTTTCCCACAGAGCAGGATATCCATTGGAGTCGTCCCACTGTGCCGATTCCTTGTCTGGGGCTCGTAGGGCTCTCCTCTGCTGCTGCCCTGCTGCCCTGCGGCCCTTCTGAGAGCATTGACAATGCGGGGCAGCTGTTAAGACAACACTTGCCTCCGTTGCCTCCCCTCGCGTTTTCGAAGCATTTTCCCCCCTCGGCAGAGGCTTCTCCTTCATCCTTCATCCTTCATCCTTCATCTTCGAGGAATCTCCGTTGCTCGCTTCTTGTTCCTTTGTTTTCCCTTGCCCCAAAGTAGATTGCCTCGTAGATTATCGCCTGTGTTTATTTGTCCACACATTGGCGCAGCATGCCGCATGCCACATGCCACATCCCACATGCCAGAGGCCACATGCTGCATGCCCTTCACCTTTCCCAGAGGCAGCTGCCAGTTCACGGGGCGTATGATTAATATGATTTGCCAGCCGCAAAGTCAGGCTGCAGCATGCAGCAGGCAATCCATCAATGCACCCGCGAATCGACTTCAACGATCCCGCATTTTTACCATGATTAAAATCACTTTTCGCGCACGACGCGACGGGAACTTAATGTATGAAATATTACGCATACGCATGTGCCGCACATGCAACATTAAGACTGATGTGTGGCACTTAAATCTTTACAAGGAGGGACTTACGTTTATCCATAGGAAATCCATTTCGGGGGCAAAGAGATGGCGAATTATCCTTGCGTTATCCTCCGCCTCAGATGCTTTTGCTGCTCCTTGTGTTGTTGTTGTTGTTTCTGCTGCTGCTGCTGCTGCTGCTGATGTGGCAGGTTCCTTCTACAGCGGCAACGTTCCGCTTGCCTCTCTCTATCGCGCTCTCTCTCCCTTCTAGCAGCAGTTGTGGCAAATGATAGAAACTGCTAGAAAATATGCATTTTTAATGCCATAAATTAGTTTTTCCGTTTGCCGTTGCCGTTGCACCGTGGACCGTGGACCGTGCAGCCACCGGGGGGTGGGTGTGTGGGGGGAGGGTTGATGGAGCTGCAAATAGAGAAGGAAAAACACATGGAATAAAAGTGGATTCAGAGCAAAAGCAGAAGGTAAAAGTGCCAGCAGGAGTCAGCGTGGAAGAGACGCAGCGGCAGGGTCGGAGGGTGGGGAACGGAGGGTGCGGGAAAGTGGAGTCAAAAGTGAATCCTTTGTGTTTTCCTCCTGGAAGAGCGGTTTCTCTCACTCGCTCTTCCGCCTTAAAGTTTTACCGTGTTTTTAAAAGTTAATATATCCGATTAGCCAGCCACTAATCGCCTTCTTCCATTAGCTTTTGCTCCTCCCCACTCTCCCGCTCTCTCGCCACTCTTCTGTGCTCTCTCCTTGGCTGTGGTTTTAATCACACTTTAAACTTCTCCACTGAGCAAAACTTCATGTGGATTCCAGACTTAAATTTCGACTGTTTTCAGACTGTGAAAATGGCGTCAGCAGATCATCGTTACATCGTTTACATCTCATCTCGTCTCCCCTTTACCGGCTGCCACTCATTCGCTGATGTGTGGCTGCCACACACATCCATCTCCTCCTCCAGCGAATGTCTGCCCTCCGGCCCCAGAGACAGGTGTATGGCTGCCGCTGCTGCTGCTGCCCCAAAAACTGCTAAAAGTCAAATTAAATTCTATTTTTAGGGACCCGCCAACGAAATGTGTCCCCCAAAAGTCAGATCAGATTCAAAGCCAGCCACGTGACCCTTTCCCCCCGCTCTAAACATTCATCTATTCATCCATCCTTCATCCTGGCCACCATCCAACCTCCTCATTCCCTTCCATTTATCCCTTCCTCCCGTCGCTGGCACCCCTTTTATAGTTTCGTTAATTACTCCATGAATTTGAAAGTTTTCCACATGCCACACACGCTACTGATAATGATGAGGCTCCTCCTGCGCCGCCTGCGGCTCATCCTCCTCCGCCTGCGGCTGCTCCTCCGATGGAAGTGGATATGCAAATGTGGCTTAGAATCTAGGGAAAATCCCCGGAATATGTACAAGTCGAAAGCTAGAACATCAAATTCGGGGGCATGCCGCATGCAGCTATGGATACCAATTAGAGTCTGATTATCTTCTGATGGCAGCAACAAGACGCGCGAGAGGGGAGAGTTGCATCTGGAGAGTGGAATGCATTTCCTCGTGGAAATGAACTGGAAAATTGGATGAGGAAGTGGAAGTGTGATAGGGGGAGGGGGAGGGGGAGTGGGAAAGGGATTCGCATAATTTCTCTCTATATTTCTCTCAGTGTACAACTGCTGGAGAAATGGGGCTAATGATGCGCATGATGTGGCTGTGTGGCTGTGTGGCACTCTCTCTCTCTCTCTCTCTCTCTCTCTCTCTCTCTCTCTCTCTCTCGTTGGCATTGTCCTCGCTCGCGTCTTTATCCGTCTCCATCATCCTGCGTCAGCAGTGTGCCACAGCCACAGCCACAGCCTCAACTTCATCTTCATCTAAGGGATCTGCATCGTTGCATCCTCCGCGTACCACAGTCTGCTGCTGCTGTGGCAAGTTGGGCGCGGCGCTGCATTGAAATTAATATTAATCGCAGCAGCAAATGCATTAAAGCCGCTTTTAGATCCCTTTTGTTGCCTATTTATTACGTTTTGTGGCGCGTTATTAAAATTGCCACCCCTGCCACACTGCCTGCCCCACAATTTGCAATCATTAGGGGCATCTTTCTGCCTCCTGCCTCCTGCCTCCTGCCGCCTGCCTCTCCCCCTCTTTGGGGCATGGCTGGGGAGACTTTTGGGGCACGGCACCGACAGACGGCTGACAAAAAGTCAGTGACATTTTAGCCGCAAAAACTTAATAGCCATGCAAATCTTATGCAAATTTCAGTGATAGAGAGATAAAAAGAGAGAGAAGAAGAGGGAGAGGGTGAGAGAGACAGATATAGAGTGTGGCAGGAGGAGACACAGCAATTGCAGCTCCACTTCCACAGGCACTGTCCAATTTTGCACATTTAATGTCACTTTGTCATCCATTCTCCATTCTCCTCTGCCTCTGTCTCTGCCCCTGCCTCGTGCTCCTGCTGCTCCTGCTCCTCCCGCTCTTGCCCCTTCCTCCGCCGTGTGGCAGTTGTCGTGCCACAATTTAAGTGGCAACTTGACTAAATTAATACGACACTGACACTGCCACTCCCGACTCCCCACTTCCCCCCCAACCCCCAATGCCACTGCAGTGCAGTGCAAAGTGCAAGTGCAGCAAGTGGCCCTGGACTCTTGTCTCTCGACTTCCCCCCCCCCCCCCCCCCCCCCCCCATTACTCTCCCTCTCTCGCACAACTTTTTGGCCAACAAAATATGAATAATTATTCATGCATCCATGTTGCATGCCACCCAGCCCCATCAGGCCGCAAAGGGAGAGCCAGATGGAAGGTAGAAGGCCTCCCACTGCCTCGGAAAGTCTTTAAGGATCCAATTTATGCTGCAGAGGGAGAAGAGGGGCCAGAAGGGCATGCCTCCTCCTCCTGCTCCTCGTTCATTCATCACACACGGTGGGGGATGCGTTGCTGCCCCTGCCAATGGGTCTGGTCTCCTTTTGGTCTGTCAATTGCCTTAAATGCAATTTAATTTTCCACCTCATGATGCAAGTTCTTCTCTATGCAAAGGCACTCTTTACCTCCACCTCCAACTCCGCCTCCGCCTCCAAATCCCCGCATGGAAACTCTTTTTCTATGCAACCTTCTGCCCCGTTCCTTGCCCCGTGTCCCCGTGTCCCCGTATCACACGTTGGTTCGCAGTTCTGTGGCCAGGGCTATAGCTATAACCTATAAGGCAATTTCTATCACAGCATCCCCTACATGCCACATGCCCCGTGCCACACGTCACCCTCCATGACCCCTCGGCAGCTCTGTGTTGTGGCACTCATAAGCCGCCTTGAATGGGTAAATGTCAAAGTTACTCCTTGGCGTAACATTCGACACATTCGCAGGAGGCAGGAGGCATGAGACAGGAGGCAGGAGGCAGGAGGCAGAAGGAGTCATGGACGTGTTTGTGTGTGTCCTTCTGCTGCTTCCATCCTGGAGCTTGGAGCTTGGAGCCTGGAGCCTGGAGCCTGGATCCTGGGGATTACATTACACTAAGTTCTGTGCAAACACCAGAGTTGGTTCTCCTCCGTTTCGTTCCGTTTCTGCAGTTCATTAACATGTTACACGGACACGGACACGAACACGGACACGGACTACGGGACACGAGACACGGAGTTCGAGTCGAGTCGAGTCGAGTCGCTGGTGAGACTTGGGCTTTCGTTTGCACTCCACTCCACTCCACGCTGCACACACCGCTCCAACCTCTCCACGTTTTTGTTTGTTTGTGGAAATGTATGCCTATGCCTATGCCTATGCCTCCCCTCCCCCTTTCTGTTTGTCTATCTCAGTGGGGATGTGTGTGTGCGTGTGTGTGTGGCTCTTCTATGTCTCCCCCTCTCCCTTCGCCTTTGAATCTGTGGGTTCTACGCATATGTATGCTTTATGCCTTTTTCCCAATGCGGAAGTGTGGAGGAGGTCCTACCTCCTACCTCCTGCCTCCTGGAGCTGCCTTCCACTTCAAACTGAAGCGAAGCCTCAAAGGTTATGTTCTCCCTTTCAGATATGTACACATATGCGGGGGTTTTCCCGCCCAGTCTAATCTCTGCATTTAAATATAAAGCATAAATAATTAACACAGTCGGTAGCTCGAATTCTGGGACTCACGAATGGTAATGGAAGGGGCAAATGGTAATCTAAGAGGATTGTGTGTGAGAGGGCTGGGGTCGAGGCGGGGCGCGGGTGGGGCGAAACCTCTTTCCCCTAATTAGGCAGCAAGCTTTTAGGGGCTGATCATCATCATCATTTGCAACAGCAGCAGCAGCAGGCACATATCATGGCAGGACTAGTCTCCAGTTAATTTGCACTTTTAATGCATTTTCCACTTGTGGCAAATGTTTGAGGATGGATGGAAAACCCGAAAATACGGCAAAACCCTGACCGAAAATTTCATTTGTTCTCCTCAGAGAGGGGGGAGTGGGTGGGGGTTGCACATGCAACCAACAGCAGCCGTTGCATACTTTGCGGCGCAAAGCAAAACCTACCGAACCCCAGAGGCGGCAGCAGCAGCAGCCCTTGGTTTGTGCACCCTACCCTCTCCCCTGTACCCTGTACTTGTATATGTTGCACGTCAATGAGTTGCCGACACAAAACCCAAAAAACAACTTGCACCAAAACACAGAAAGAGAAAGAGATGGGGGGGGGGAGGTAGAGAGGGAGATGCAACTCCACCACTCCTCCTATGGCCGTACCGTAAAACTTGCAATTCGTTTTAATGAATCCATCCTACAGGCCACACATCCACATCCCTATCCTACCATTGGGATCCATCCACAGAACCGCATGCCACATGCCACAATGCCACAGCCCATGCAGGCCACACAATGCAGGAGGCAGGCACTCACCCTCCCCCTCCCCCTCCCCCAGAGGGGTTGGAGAGCAAGAGAGTGAGAGTGAGAGTGAGAGAGAGAGAGAGAACTGATTATATCAACTTCCTAAGTGGATTTTGCAGTCCAACTGGCATTAAGCTCTTGGCCGCAGGTAATTTCGTATGAATGAAAAGCAAAAGTCTCTCTCTTCTGCCCAGACTCCTCTATCTGTCTCTCTCTGTCTCCCGGTGTTCCCCCTCCCCCTCCCCCTCCCCCTCCACCCCTCTCGTTCCGTATTGGTATTCTGCACTGTGTTTTCTTGCACTGCAGTTGTGTTGTTGTTGTTGTTGTTGTCTTGCTGTCGAGCGACAAGAGGAGAAACGGAACGTAACGGAACGGAACCCAGGGAAACGCTGGTCCAATCACTCGGATTTGCCTACAGAGGGATTCATCTGGGAATTCCAAACATCCTTCACCTCTCTTCTGTCTCTCTCTCTCTCTCTCTCTCTCTCTCTCTGTGGTACTTGCATAGATTAAGTTCTTTCATTATATAAAGAGAGAGAGAGAGAGAGAGAGAGTCCACTGTAGTGACAGGCAGCCAGCCACAGCCTCCATCCCAGTCCCAGTCCAGGTCCCAGCCTATGCATATGAGCGCAGGGACCAGCACTCACATTTCAGGCCATTCCTGAGGTTCCTCTGGTCGCGAGTTCCGTTGCTTTTTCCTGCTTTCTGCCCTCCACTGCTGCTGCTGCTATGACATTGTCTTTCAATAAACATTCATTCCAACGATGGCATGGCCATTCCATAAAGCGAACACAGAGCAAGTGGAAAAGAGTGAAAGAGGAAAAGCGAAAAAGGTGTGGGGTAGGGGAAGGGGAAGGGGAAGGGGAAGGGGAAGAGCAGAGCAGCACTGGGAATCCGTCCGTTATGATTTTTGTTTGCTTGTCGAAACTTTGGCTCTTCCTTTCAGCTGCTCTTTCACCCACACTTCGTCCTGTGGCTTTTCGCACTCATGAATTTTTAAGAGTGCCCCCGTCCCCCGTTCCCCGTCTCTGTCCCCCTCTCTCTCGCTCTGCAGTTGGCAGCAAACTAACACCAAGTCCAGGACAAGGATTTTCTCTGCCTCCCCACGGTCCACCCCGCTCTCACCGACTCTCTGCCGTCGAGCAAGAGTGGAAATAGTTTCAATGCAATTTTGATGATTCGATGTTTCGAGAGAGAGAGAGAGAGGGGAAGAGCAGAGTGTGCTGCCAGGTGCCATAAGCACGAATATTGCTCTGATGGACAGAGGGAATATTTGAATGGGTTTTTGGCCAAAATGGGGAAAACGTTGTCAAGCCAACGGCTCGTCGTCTGTGTGTGTGTGACAATCTTCGAATCACATGAAATTCTAACTACACAATTTCCGATCCCAATTCGAGTTTCAATTTCAATTTCATTACGCATTAAATATGAAAACATAAAGAGTGGGCGGGGGAGGGGGAGGGGGATGAGGATGAGGAGAGTGCACCACTCTGTCAAGCCATATGTCAACTGATTCCATAAAAATAATACAGTTGAGTGGAAAGTGATGCCATACCGCACCGCATCGCACCAAGTGCTGTTCTGTGCTGTGTGCATCGTAATAGGTTTACCTATAAATGTTTATGGAGTTTGCTTAGTCGCCTGGAAGTGCCATAAAAATCATAAACACTCCCACACACACACACACGCACGCACACAGGCAAAGAGAAACAGCATCACACAAAAAGTGCACGAGCAGAGAGAGAGAGAGAGAGAGAGAGAGTAAGTGAGAATAACAACAGCATAGTAATCACTGCCGAATTATGAGCAAAAAGCGATTGAAAAAACGAGTACCGGTATACACAAGGTATATCCCAGTCGGGGTGAGGCATCACCAGACCGGTGTCTTATGATGGTTGCCTACTGCCACCTGCGAGCCTATCTGGTGCCTATCGTAGGAGCACCACACCCCGCACAAATATTCCCTGGGCATGCAGTGTAGCTGTTGTAGCTGTTGTTGCTGTTGTTGCTGTTTCATGTGTTTGCACTCTCTTGCAATTCATCTTTTTTGTTGTTTTTTTGCCGGCTGACGGAGGTTTTAATTGAGTTGAGCTCGTGTCGCTCTTCTCTCATTGTGTGCTGCTGTTCTCTTGTTTCTTTTTCTGATGCTGCTGCTGCTGCTGCTGCCGCATCGTGATTTTCCTTTTCGTTTTTCTTTTCAATTAATTTAAAATGCAATTGTTTTTAAGCGTCGAACACATCATCGCGCAAACTTGTTGCAATTTTCGTTTATTGCTTTATCTTGTTAAGTTCTTTCTTCTTTGCCGCCCTCCCGCGTGGCACTTTCTCTCTCGCCCTCTCCATGCCATGTGGAATGCCATGTCATGTTGACAAGTGCGTCAGAGCGAGATGGGGGACAAACAGCGCTCAGCGGCAGAGGCAGCAGCGACGGCAGCAGCGACGGCAGCAGCGGCAGCGGTAAAGATTAATGCCCGCGAATGAAAGAGAAACAAATTCTGTTTGCCTTGCGCTTACCTTTTTTTGTTTGTTTTTTTGTTTACGCGGCTGTTCTCTTATATTAATTTATGCTTTAAACGTACTCGACTGAAGTGGAACGTGGAGATAGCCCCAGCGATAATTAATTTATTGATGCAGGCGATTAAGCCCCGAACAAAATTTTGGAGTGTAATGGTTCGTTCTTTACTATTGCACTTGAGCAGCACGAGCGCGAAACGATTAGCACTTCTGACGCGACTGATAACGAAAGAACGGAACGGATCGCAAAGGAACGCAGAGGAACGCAGAGGAACGCAGAGGAAAGCAGAGGAACGCAACGGTACGGACAAGAGCAATAACTAACGAAACACGTTAACAATTGCTAATTAAAGACGTTTACACTTGTACGAACAAACCGGCAAACACGGACGCGAACAAGACGCTGGGGCTGACGACTGACGGTGCTGGAGCTCGCGATAGAACTGTGCGGAGCACAAGCAAATTCGAGAGCGAGAACCTAAGTTATAGTCAAGGCAGAGACAGAGACAGAGACAGCGCCAGGGACAGCGACAGCGACAGAGGGAGAGAGAGAGCGAGCGACTAAAGAGAGGGGGAGAGAGAGAGAGCCATTAAACTGTAAAACCTGCCAGACCAGAGTTTTGTTATTGATATGCTCACGAGATGATGAGTGAGGGAGGAGTAGGGGAACAATGGAATGGATAAAAACAAAGCGAAGCTGGAATACTCTTTCCAGGAAAGGAAGGGGACTCCATGTACCAGCTGTTTTTGGAGGAAGTAACCAATCCAAATGTGTGCAATCGGATCCTAAAAATCGAATAATTCCCTTTGGGAATCGTGAAAATGAGTGGCATTTGAGTGTCATTCGTATAGAAGTACAAATTGGAGTGTTTCCCAAGGGTCAACGACAGCTTCTTGCTCGCAGACAATTCTGCTCAACAGATAACCCCATAGGCTCCTGAAGAAATGAGTCAATGCTTTCAGAGAATGAGAGATGAACGATAAGATGGGAATGTTCTCGCCCCCTACCCTCTGGCACTCCACTTTGCATACACTTTGCAACATGTTATTAACTTCCATTGCATTCCATGGGTGGGAGCACGAAACAAAACGAACTTGGATAAGCTGTGCGGCAAGGCAAGCGACGAAAAGTGAAAGCAAGGTTTACACTGGGACTTAACAGATAGAGACAGACCCTGAAGAGGGGGGGGGGGGGGGGGGGGGCGAGCGGCAAGAGGTGCATCACACAGCAACAAATTTCGATTCAGAGTGCCTACCATTCCACCACATCCTCGGCATCCCACACCCATTTACTCGTATTATGTATCGAGAGACAAGCTACTTAATGTAATCGCATTTGTATCTGCAATTATACACAAGTACTCGGATGCTCGGATGCTCGGATGCTCGGATACTCGGATACTCGATATCCTCGTACCCGTACTCGTGCTCGCACTCGTACCAGGGGCATCGCAAGGGGCTTTGATTTTGATGCCGAAACAGATTCCGAATTGCGATTACGATTCCGATTGCGGCCTGTTATCAGGCCTCAACAAGGGGCAAGAACAATGGCATACCTGAACGGGCCATGCTATGGGGTAGGGTGGGGAGTGGGGAGTGGGGGTCGGTCGTGGAGAGGGCTTAGTGCCTGTCGAGGGTGTGACGGCAATTAGTGTCGAGAAGTGTCGAGTGCCGATATTCTCAGGATGGGCTCTGGGGACGTCTGGGGCTGAGGGTGCCCCGCTGCTGGCATGCCTCGTTCCGGGCTTCGAGAGTGTTTTGCGGTGATGAGACTTCGACAAGCAGATACTCGTACGCGTACACCGATAGCGGTTGCCGTTTGCCACTTGACTTGGCTAAGACCTGGCCTACCGAACGAGCACCGGACACACCTTCTCAATCTCTGATTTAAATCTGAGAAATGCTACGATTTTGCACCCCAAAGGGGGTGCAGCTTGATTTCTTCATTGATTTTTGTGTGGAAATTGTGGGGAACAGAAGAAAATCATTCGGTTTTGAGGGAACATCATAGAAGTATCTCTCATGAAACTATCGCTAACCGATAGATGCTGCCGCATTACGCGCAAGGCGCGTCAGCAGGAGGATAGTAGAAGGCCAAAAGCGATCCATCAGCAAGAGTATCTGTCTAAGAAATCAGCCAGCAGAACGGGCCCTCTCCCCCATCCACATTTGGACATCCTGAGGCTTCGATATGGTCGCATATTATCTAAGATTTAATCACTAGCTGCCTTCTGCTTGCTAGACGGCAAATTGAAATAAAAACCAAACCAGAGCGAAGCCAAAGCAGAGTTGAAATCACTTTTGCTCTGCTCATTAATCTCAATTCGGAGGAGACGACGAGGACGAGGACGAGGACAGGCACGAGGAGGCCGAGGAGACTCAAACGTTTTCTAAGAAACGAAGACGCCTTGGAGTATACTCCGATTTCCATTTCCAGTTTCAAGAGACTGTGTATATCTGTGTATGTCATTCGCTCTTTGTGTGTGTGTGTGTGTGGGTGTGTGTGTATATGTGTGTGCTTTTGCAATTATTTATGCCGTTCATTTGTTCCACGGCCACGACAGCTGCACAAAGCATTGGAGCAATAAAAGGCAACGACAACGACAGGCGACGTCTCCAACGTTTGGACGTGGCCGAAGGGAACATATCATTTACATGCCACACCAGGCACTGCTGCCCCACTCGCACCCCCACCCCCTACTGCCGAGCAGCAGCAGCAGCCACAATGACGACGCCCCCGCACAATGGCCAAGGCGCAGGACCCGAATCCTGGGCCCCATCTACCCGCCCCCCCCTCCCCCCGTCTGCCTCCCCCGATGAGATGTAAAGTTTAACACATAAACTCAAGACAATTTGTGCGCGTATGTGTAAGGAATAAGGCAAAAGGCAAATAATTTACAAGTTTCTGCAACCAAAAGAGGGCGCTGTAGGGACGGAGCGGACTGGGGGGACTGAGGGGACTGCGGAGGGGTGTGGCAGATAGCCAGCGTGTGGAACATGTGCAAATACAAAGAGCAGTCCGTGGACCCAAGAAACTTTTGCTGCTGGTGCTGCTGCTGCTGCTCCGTGAAGCTGCAACAGCAGCAAATATTTTGATAGCCTTCTTTGATATCCTTCCAAAAACGTTTTGTTTCTATGACAGCCGTATGATACAGTCATTCGATCTAGATGGAAGTTGTAAGAGCTATAAAGAAACACACGAAACCACGGATTTTTGAGGTTTTTTAGGGAATATTTGCACTTTTTGAGACATTTGATGTACTACACAGAGTATCTATGGGATATGGCTATAAAGTCTGCTGATCTAGGGATCAAAGAGGCGACCTACAAGAAACTGACCAACAGAAATCGTACTACTCTCTGGAAAGGGAATTCCAGAGACACACACTCTTACATATAGTACATATATACATATACCCACACACATGTGAATCTTAAAATGTGTTACAGGGGGCGTACAAAAGTGTAAAAATAAATAATTTAAAGTGTGTGTAAAGGACACGGGGCGGCGAAAAAACATTGGACGGCGCGCGGCCATTGCCATAAAGAGCGCGCCAACAGCGGCAGCAGAGGCGGCAGCAGAGGCGGCAGCAGAGGCGGCAACAGAGGCGGCAGCAGAGGCGGCAGCAGAGGCGGCAGCAGAGGCGGAGGGAGTCCCGCATACACATGTGCGTTTGTATATGGGACACACACATAAATACATATGCATTTATGGGCAGTAGTTGTTGCCCTCCGCCGCTGCCACTGCTGCCACTGCCGCCACTGCTGCCGCTGTGTGTGCGTGTGCATAATATTTTTCCACCTCCTGCTCCACCTCCTGCTCCACCTTCTGCTCCTTCCATTCTGTTCCTTTTGCGTTCTGTAAACTTTTGCGCTCAATACCACAACAAGAACAACAACAGGAGAAGGGGAAGGCAGAGGAGGAGGAGCAGCAGCTGCAGGTTTGGCCTTTGAAATTGTTGTCCGCATAAACCAAAAGACAGAGAGAGGGAGAGAAAACTTATTATTATGTTGTCCGTAAAGAAAACCAACAACAATAGTGGCCATAAGCAGAAGGAGCAGAAGGGAGACGAAGCACGAGAGGAGCAGGAGAAGAACAAACAACAAAGAGGCCAACGCGTGCCAAAAGAAAAACCAGCAGCAATACCGAAAATTGTGAACAGAAACCCAGAAAACCCATAGAGACACACCCAGAGGCGTTGGGGGATCTCCAAAAGGGGATCTGAGAGGACAAAAAAGACAACTATGGAAATTCAGGACAATTTCTTAAGGGAGTACCTCATCAGACCAGAGGACTCCAGCCTCAGTCCTCTGAAAAATCTCTGAGCTATCCGTAGTTGTATCCCACAAGAAGTGCCAAAGAATCTGCGAGGATTAGCATAGCAATACTCAAGGATAATTGGCTTAAGGATGAACACTGTCAAGGGTTGGAAGCTCCTCTTAAATTTGTTCCCACTTCTGTTGGTTCATTAGTCAAATGGAAGAAATAAATCTGCATGGAAATTCATGAATATAACCACTACATCACCATTTAGTAAGTAAAATCCTTGACGAAGAGCCTCTCCAGCTCTTCTCTTCTCCAATTGTGGCATCCACAGCCCCATCTCTATCTCTCTCTCTCTCTCTCTCTCTCTTTCTCTCTCTCTCTCTCTGTTGATTAGCCACTCCACAATCTGGTTTTTGAGTTATCTTTCATCTGCTTTCAGTCTTTGGCTGGCTTCTTTGCACTCCTCTCGCTGGCTGGGGCCATATGCTAATATCAGTTTCAATAAAACTATTTGCTCAACTAGCGCCCAAACACCTTTGGTGGTGTCTGTGTCGCCACTCATCCAATCAACCCTCTTGTATAAAAATACTCCCTATTCCATCGCCTTGCAGCAATCTGCGCCACTGAGTTTCCTTTCTTTTCATGCCGCATGCCGCAAGCCTCCTGCCCCTCCCCGCAGTCCACCGCCTCTTTTGGGGCAGGCAGGAAGAAGTCATAATTCATACAGAAAATACCAGAGCCAATATTTGTGCGTTGGCTTCTTTCATTTCTTGCGCTCGAAGGCGTCGCTTCCTTGGGATTTTTTGTCTGTCCTTCTCTTTCTTTTACGAGTACGCCGCACACAAAAAGGTGCGGAAAATGCAGAGCATTTTTCATCATTTACTGGGGCCGGGCCCAGTAGCCGCCCCAGTGCTTATCTGTATGCCCCCATCGGAGAGTGCCCCAGTGGCTGGCCCATTAAAGCGCACAAATATGCGCAAATTGTCCGATTCTCCAATTCTCCGATACGCTACGAGTACTTGCAATAATATTAAACGCAACTCTCGCCTGCTCCTCTGCTCCTCTCTGCCCCTCTCTGTCCCTGCTGCTGTGGGGAAAAATATTGAATTATAGTTTTTGCACGCACTGCTCTCACGGCGTTTTTGTG